GTCAGTAAGTCAGTCAGTCACAAACTTATGTTAACCTCTTTTTATGTGTACAAAGTAACACTTCATTACTCCACAGGTTATCTCTTGTTTAATATCTTTGTCCTCTTTGTTAATTCTAAGACTTAAATGAAGAAAAACTGGACGCATATGAAGTACGAATGCTGGCATGGTGGGGTGGTGTCGGGGGGTGGCAGGGGATGACGGGAGGTCTTCCCCGCTGATGCACAACAAGGCGGCCACTTGAGAAAAAGGGAATTTTTTTTTTCCTTCCTGCAAACTGAACTGTGTTAAATTAATTTAACGTGTTACATAAAATTGTGCCGCAATTCTTCAATCGTGCTATACCCGAATTGTGCCAAATAAACTCGTACTAAATGACGGTCTACTGTATTTTCCTATGGTACAGTATTTATGGTTGTATTCTTGTTTTCTTGGTCTCATTTGATAGAATGGAAGATATATTACAGAAATAGAGATGATTTTGAATGATTTATAGACTAAAAGTAGCTTGAAATTGAGCTCAAGGTAGCAGAAAGGTTCGAGTTTTAATGTTCAAGAGTAAACAAATCACGTCACAGGTCCAATACACGTCAACTGGCGAGTCTAATATGCATTCATGAATGTGCTGATATTATTTAAAGAATTATTACAATTATGCAGTAAATCTTCTATATTTTCGTGCGAATAAAAATTCAAAATGAAAAGCAAGCATAATATAAGAGGGGCCTAATGAACAGAGAAAATGATATTTTAGTGCCAGGAATGTCTGCAATGTTCATTCTGGACCCTGTTCTGAAATTGACCTTTCTTGAATTTTGTGTGAAATTGGCCAAATTAGTCATTTCAGATAACTTGATTGGGTAGTTGAAATAGGTAAATGAGTAGTCTCTTGTACTCAATCAATAGAATGAAAGGAGTTCAGGCGAAATAGCTATGAGTTTGGTCAACTGGAACAATGGAACTGGCCCAAAATAGGGTTCAAAGTGGTCGAAATCACTGATGCGTAAATATCGCAGAGACTGCTTATTTTGCGATAGTGTAATTCCGTAAGTTTTCCGTCAAATCTCATACTTTTAGCTTCATTACCTTCAAAAAAAGATTGTCTATCATTTCATGAGATTTTTTTTTTTTAATTCTTCAACCCTGGGAGCGTTGTCCATCGACAATCAGAGCACATACGAAAACCATGACATACTTCTCTCAAATTCCTCATTCGAAAACCAATTTGTTCGACAAGTAGTGCACTTGACAACAAAGGGTTCCACTGTATTTTGATCGACTATATACATGACTGAATTCAGACTCAGGTGTCAATATTGGAATGGCTTGCTTAGACAGCTGACAATGCTCTTGCTTAACATAATGCTGTTGTTCATGCTCATCTCACTCTGTTGCTCTCATGGTCCAATTCTTGAAATATTTCTTTTTCACCCATTAACCCATGTGGATTTCTTTGAGCTGCAACTCAGCTCCTAGAGAGTATCCAGCAGGTGCTAGTTTATTGGAAGGTGTCATTACCAAAAATCTAGAAATTTGATAAACTTGGACATGAAGCTGGATATCACTGAGTAGCTACTGTGTGGCAAGTAAACTTATGCATAGGATATGTGTTCATTATGAACAAATGTACATTATGGTACACTGGCAAGAATATGACCAAGATCAAGCAGTCCATGGCACACTCAATATAGCTTAAGAGAAAGGTAATAACAAGAGTGCAAAATCAAGGAGCAGAAAGACTGGAGGGAATACTAGCCATGTCAGTAGTGTTATTGATTCCCTATGTGATATACTTATGTAGTTATTATCAGCTATGTTATACAAGCTTCCCTGTCCAGCTAGCATACCAGTAACCGTTCAGGTCAAGCATACATAAGATCCACATGGATTCACGACCGTTAGTGACTCAATGGAAAGTGCTGATATCATGAGTGCTAATTCCGTAGCCTATTCGGTGTACATGGTCCGTAGAGTTTTACCGCAAGATCCTACTTATAGCTCATGTCAGGCCTCTAAGTGTCTACTCATTTCATAGATTATATTTATCTTCACCCTGAGCATGTCCATCGATTATAGCACATACAAAACATGACACTCCTCAATTCCCTATCGACAACATCAATTGAATGACAAGTAGTGCACTTACACAAAGTTCACTGTATTTGATCGAGAATCTCATACTTGATTCAACCAGTTCATACTGTAATGCTTCTTACGTATGTCTTCTTAACATATGCCGTTGTTCATCCATCCACGGCTCATGGCCTGAATCATGAAAATCTTTTTCACCACATTAACCCATTGATTGTCTTGGAGCTGCAACCAGCTCTAACAGTACAACACAGTCCTATTTATGAACTGTCCTTCCAAACTATTTAACTGGATGAACCTTATCACTGATTCCACTACAGTTTAAGTACTCTATGAAGTCATTTACAAATTTTTGTTCATTCTGCTACATGATCAGACCACTCAAAAACCCTGCACAGCCCTCTGGAAATAATAACAGATTGGTAAATCCGCAATGCCTGAAATATACCTTCATACGAATTCCTTGCATTATTATGTTATATACACACTATGCTAGACAACATCTCCCTGCCTCCAGCCTTCTACCTACGTTGCAACATTCACCACCCTCTTCACACCCATATATAGACATTGTATAACTATACATGGTACTTGACTTAGAGTTTAATTCCGTTCCGTGACGAGTCAGTTAACCAAATTTGCATTGGCTATCAATCAATATTTCGCATTGAATAATTATACTTCAAATGCCATTAACCCACCGACCCAAAGACCACCCAAGATGAGAAAAATATTCACACAATTAACGCTTTATTTATCAACTCTTATGGCTTTTTATTTACAAATGTGCCGCCAAAGGAGGGGCTGGAGACAGTGGAGATGTCACATGTCATGAGGCAATGTGTGGAGGACATATAAAGCAAAATTCCTTAGTTTCCTGGGATGGACTGACGTGCCGGATTCCATAACTGTTTACAATGGGCTGAAGTCAGGTCTGTTGTTGCAGGTGGTCTCGTACATGTCGAGACATGAGCGAACAAATGACCTTCAGCCTTGTAATCAGTTTATGGTAAGCCGCAGGCCGGCGTAGGGTTCGCCTACGAATTTTGGGGCGATGGTATATCAAACAGCTTGGTCAGGCAGACTTCTCCAGCAGCTGCGAGCCGTGTTCTTGTTGAAGATGTCACCAATGGCTAACCCATAATGGTATTGTTAATACTTGACTGCAGTTGGACTGTGACTACAGAACTTTGAATTGGATTCGGGAAACCGGCAGGCCGTAACTTGATTGCTTGGATATGAAGTCAAGTGTGCACTCTGAAGAGGTGTAATGATGCAGTTTAAAAACTTAAGTGTAAAGACCACCCTCTGGCAGGCAGTGAGGATGAATGATGTGAACAGTATCCTTATTCGCAACCTGGCTTGGATTGGGAATCGTCCGGATTGATTAAATATAATAATAAACACTATAAGTAACATAAAAGAATACTCTCAAAACCTCTTAAAACTAACTTGTCTAATGACCATATGAACTGTTTCTGCACTAAAAATCATTGATTATATTTGATTTGACCTGATTAATAAATTGTACGACTACATAGAGTAAATTGATCATGTTGTTATACATTGTAATGCTACAAATTTGTGCAACTATGCTTTAAAATTGAAATGTTCAAATCTCACTGTTTAAAATACTCAATTGTACTTCATACTGTAAACTGTTTACTGTAACTTTTACCACTTAATCTATTATAGCTTAGTTAATCTTAAGCTAACTTTAAGCCTGCCCATAATGCTCTGCATACAAGGGGCTTTTGGCATGTACACCCAACTACTATAATTCCTTGTACAACTATGTATCATGTCTTAATAAACTATCTACCTATCTATAGAAACATGATATATACTCTAGAATGAATAAAATAGGCCATAATATGGCGAGTGTACAGGGTCAGTCCAAGCATATAAAATCATTACTGCTCCTTCCAATAACATGTTCTTTGGTCTTGGGTAAGAGAAAACTGAAATTTTGAGAAACTAACTGCACTAGATCTCTAGTGCAGCAATATATAAATATCTCAGAAGTAAGTTATTGACTCATTTCATGAATTCCACCATTTATTATTGAATTAAATGCAATAATATTGACAGGAATCATAAAAAAATGATTGTTCTACAACTGGCTTGTGGAATATTGGAAATATTCCAAATACAGTGGAACCCCAGATATCAGCCGGTGCGGATATCGGATTTCGGCCGAAATTCTGTCCTGGATTTCGACCGGCAACTCGGAAATCGGCTACATTGGACGTGTCCACCCACCATTCTGCCGAGTTCATGAGTCAGTCTGGCTGTGTCTCTGGGTGAGTGAGCAACACTCCACGCATTCATCCAAAAATTTCGTTATAATCCATTATTTTTTGCGGTTGTTCATTGAGTGCAACTGAAATAAGCCAATATGGGCCTAAAGAAAATTCCTAGTGCCAGCCCTTTGGTAAAGAAAGTGAGAAACATGATAGAATCCAGTGACAAAACTGTCCCACTTCAGGCAAATCTTAAAGAAACACCAGAAACAGACCTCTCTGGACAGTTTTTTTGTGCAACAGGAGTGCATTGACTCTCAAGCTGGTCCTAGTGCCAGTAAAAGGCAAAGAAGAGAAGTAACCCCAGATAGGGATTTGATACCTGAAGTCCTTATAGAGGGGGATTCCCCTTCCAAAGAATATCCCCAACTCCCTCTCCCATCATCGCCTTCGTCAATGCGCCAAGAAGAGTCATCAATAAAGGTATGTAATGATCATTAATCATTAAAATTTGTGCTTTATGTTTATTTCTCATTGTTTTCTGTATGTAAAACTATAGTTAATCTTTAAAAATTGTATTTTGTTAATATTTTTGGGTGTCTGGAACAGATTTTTTTTTTTTTTTTTCAACAAGTCGCCGTTTCCCACCGAGGCAGGGTGACCCAAAAAAAAAGAAAGAAAATCCCCAAAAAGAAAATACTTTCATCATTCAACACTTTCACCACACTCGCACATTATCACTGTTTTTGCAGAGGTGCTCAGAATACAACAGTCCAGAAGCATACACATATAAAGACACACAACATATCCCTCCAAACATTACTTTGGTTTTCGGCCTTTTTGGATTTAGGCCGACCTTCTGGAACGGATTACGGCCGAAATCCTGGGTTCCACTGTATTTTGGGATTTGTGTGGGGGTAAAGGGCAAGATATTTTGCAAATGTCAAAACCTTAGCAACTTTATTTTTTTGTAGAATAACTAAAGGTAATTACATGATTAACTCCAGTATGAACATTGCAATAGCATTGTTTAATAAGTACCAAGTCCCAAAACCACCTTTTGTTGTGCCATTTAGGCTGGGGTTCTTGCCAAATGTCATTTTCAGTAAATATTTTCTTTTTGCCCTTAACTCGGATTTTGGCTCGCAACCCAAAGCAAAAAATTGACTGAGCAAACGCTCATAACTCGGAAAACTCGTAAGTTCGGGCACTCTTAAGTCAGGGTACCACTGTACTCTCACGCATTTCCCTCTTTGCTTCCATGGACAAAGTTCTTTGTCCCCACAGATTCCTCAGTGCACAACTCACCTTTTTCCCCTCATCAATTCTATGATTCACCTCATCTTTCATAGATCCATCTGCTAACACGTCCACTCCTAAATATCTGAATACATTCACCTCCTCCATACTCTCTCCCTCCAACCTGATATCCAATCTTTCATTACCTAATTTTTTTGTTATCCTCATCACCTTACTCTTTCCTATATTCACTGTCAATTTTCTTCTTTTACATACCCTACCAAACTCATCCACCAACCTCTGCAACTTCTCTTCAGAATCTTCCATAAGCATAGTGTCATCAGCAAAGAGCAACTGTGACAACTCCCATTTTGTGTTAGATTCTTTATCTTTTAACCCCCAAACCTCTTGCCAACACCCAAGCATTCACTTCTCTTACAACCCCATCTATAAATATATTGAACAACCATGGTGACATCACACATCCTTGTCTAAGGTCTACTTTTACTGGGAAATAATCTCCCTCTCTCCTACACACTCTAATCTGAGCCTCACTATCCTCGTAGAAGCTTTTCACTGCTTTCAATAACCTACCTCCTATTCCATACATTTGCAACATCGCCCCCCTATCCACCCTGTCATACGCCTTTTCCAAATCCATAAATGCCACAAAAATCTTTTTATTGTTTTTATTATTATTAACACATCGGCTGTCTCCCACCAAGGCAGGGTGGCCTGAAAAAGAAAAACTTTCATTATCACTCACTCCGTCACCTTCTTGCCAGAGGCATACTTACACTACAGTTATTAAACTGCAACATTAACACCCTTCCTTCAGAGTGCCAGCACTGTACTTCCCATCTCCAGGAATCAAGTCCGGCCTGCTGGTTTCCCTGAATCCCTTTATAAATGTTACCTTACTTACACTCCAACAGCACGTAAAGTCCTAAAAACCATCTGTCTCTATTCGCTCCTATCTAACACGCTCAAGCAAGCTTGCTGGAAGTCCAAGCCCCTCGTAAACAAAAACTCCAACCTTTCTTAGGCCGACCCCTACCCTGCCTTACCTCCACTACAGATTTATGCACTCTTGAAGTCATTCTATTTTACATGTCCAAACCATCTCAACAACCCCTCTTCAAATTAATGCCATTTATTTCTTCTCACTGAAACTCACCTACCCCCTTCAGCTTTGTTTTGCTTAGGACTAAGACATCCAACTTCTTTTCATTCATAACATTAGCAATCACTTCTTTCTTATCATCCGCACTACTTACAAAGTTTTTCTTTTCCTTGTTTTTAGTAATTTATACAGGAGAAGGGGTTACTAGCCCATTGCTCCAGGCATTTAGTCGCCTTTTATGACATGCATAACTTACAGAGGAAGAATTCTGTTCCACTTCCCCATGGAGATAAGCAGAAATAATCAAGAACAAGAACTAGGAAGAAAATAGAAGAAAACCCAGAGAGGTTAGTATATATATGCTTGTACATGCATGTGTAGTGTGACCTAAGTGTAAGTAGAAGTAGCAAGACATACCTGCAACCTTGCATGTTTATGAGAAAAAGAGACCAGGAGTCCTACCATCATGCAAAACAATTACAAGCTTATGTTTCACACTCATTTGGTAGGACAGTAGTAAAACAAAAACCTCTTTACTTTTATCTAAATACTGTTCACCTATATGTTTCACTGTAAACACTTGGTCTACACACCCTCTATCTTCAAAAAGCCTCCTTGTTCATATGCTATCCTACTCTCCGTCTTACTCTTAATTCTTTCAATAATAACTCGACCGTACACTTTACCAGGTATACTCAACAGACTTTTTTCTCTATAATTTTTGCATTCTCTTTTGTCCCCTAGAGCAATTATTATTAATATTATTACTGCATCTTCAACAATAACGAGACACTCTAGTCATTATAATGTGTTCCTGCATGCCAGTATAGTGTGCAAGTTTATTTAGGTACAGGTACACATAAGTACAACTATCAGAGTAACAGTAAAATATGCAATAACTCTAAAACACTTGAAATTTTGGAAAGTTTCCAGACATAATCGATAGATGTGGAGCTAACAGAGGATGTAAACAAACAGAGTGGTACATGGATGCTATAACAGTGAATCAGGGAGCCATATAAATGAATTTTTGGTTGTATTCTGAAATGTATGTATTAGTGAATCACCATAAAGCGAGCACTGTAAAGCAGGGCCTTGGATGAGTGAAGATAAACCATTATGTGATGAATGGTTTAGAAAACCGACAAGTTGAAGAATTACTGTACATAAACCATTATGTACAGTAAAAGTACATGATACCATATTACAGAGCAGTCAATACTGATGTACTTTTCTAGTTATCATAAATACTGATAAAACCAGCATACAAAAGTAAATTGTATATTACGAATAACTTAATTTTCATCTCAAAAGAATACTGTATACTGTAAATGTTTCTGTTAGTGTATGCAGCAAAGAAGTCAAAAGATAATGCATTCTAGACAATGATGAATGCTTATATAACTACACCTTGACTAAATGTTTGTATTGTAATTAATAAAGTAAAATAGATTTTATGAAAGAATGACCAATCAATTTTCAAACTATAGGCTGAAAGTTGTCAGTCATGTCAGCCAAGTACTATGTAGAAGTGCTTGGAATGTGAATGAAATTCTGGATGATACTGTATTAAATTTTTGAATATTCAATTCTTGAGTGAGTGTGTAAATTTGGTAAAATGCTAAACAGCAACAACTCAATTTTGGATCAAGGATAAAAAAAAATTCACAAGCACACTGCACTTCAGCTTAAAGCAAAAGGTCCAAAATTAATGCTATTAAACAGGTATTCTGCGAAAAATGTATTGTTTGAATCTAAGCCCTAGGTAGTGCACAATATTGTGCACTGTCTATAGTGTGACTAGAATATTATATGTAAGGCAGCAAAGATATATATTAAGGTGCCACCCATGCTATGAACTTCCCAAATATATCTTACTAAAAACCAAACAAGAATGATAATAATTATTATTATAATAATAAAAATAATTATGAAAACGAGGGTACCGTACACTTGATACACTTCAATTAAACATAAACAAGTTAAAAAATCAATATACATTATTTTTTGCCTCAAAATGGCCTTACCAACTTTCCACATCAACAAAATAATAAAAATCCATCTTAAATAACAATCTACTTCATGAATACTGGTGAAAAACAAGTATCACTCTTCCAGAATGACCATAAGTGCAGTATATGTAATGTGTGTGACAATATCACACAATAAAAAACTTTAGCTATACAAACATATGGAAGCATTCTTCCTTTGTATTTAAGTAAACTGCTCCTTACTGTAAGCAATTTGCATTACAGGAAATTTTTCAATTCTGTTTCATGAAATTCACTGTTGCAACAAAACATTCCTAGAAAAAACTTTTTTTTCCTTTCACAGAACTTTATTGGCTTCTTCTAGTGCAGAAAATTTTCCATTCCTGCATTCACAGTGAGCAAACCGTAGCAAACAATTATAAGCATCAGCTGTTAAAGTAGCACAAATTTCAAACACACTTGTAGGCAGTAACAAACCACGATGTTTTTTTTCTCTTAAAACTTACATAATTCTTTGCAATTTCCTTCAATAATACTTTTTAGAGACGTAAACATTCCATGATAAATAGCCACAATTCTTATGATTTTCTACAATTTCCTTTAATTTTAGTTCTCACAGACCCACTTAAAAACATTTTCTCTAAGATTTTCACCATAATTTTTTCAAAAGCCCATCATTGAGAATCCAAGTCTTCTTCAAGTAACGTATAATCAAAACTTGGAACACATTTTGAGCAGATTTAGATGCGTTAATATTCCCTGAAAAGTAAATATTAAGAAAAGCCTGCAATAAAAAAATATAAATATCATTAAGCAACTACAACAGCATGCTGCAACCACTAATAAAATCTCTCAATGAAGATATTTTAATATATCTGAGAATTTACTCCATATTTATATTCCTTTATGTCCTATGAAAATATTTAACACTGGTAATCTTTATATAAGTTAACTTTGATACTGCATAAAATTTACTTTACATTATGAGTTTGAAATAGCAAGATTTTACCTACCACACTATCACAGACATTTATCACAGATATTTACATTACTGTTAACTAAATAACATCCATAAATAAGTTAAAAATAAATTTTGCCTACAGATATACAGTATTATACTGTATATTTAGAAATTTCCAGAGCTAACTCAAGAATTAAAAATTTCCAGAGCAAACTCAAAAATAAATTTTGAAACCATCATAATTTCCCAGCAACTATGCTCAGATTGCATTACTTCGTGCAAGCTAAAGCTATCATATAATTTCTTTTAACCACACACTATGACAACTGTTCAACTACAATTCAGTCAGCAACAACTATTTTAATGAAGTTTGTAGTCACCACAGCAAGCCTGGAATCAGATATACAGCCCAGACCTCTCCACACCAAGTTGAGCCAGTGCAGCAGCAGGAGCAACGAGATGTGTGCGTTACCTGCATCCCAGGCAGACTGAAATGATCATCGCCTCAGCTTCACTCTGTTGCCAGTTCCCCCAGCGGCACGCCCTTTGGATTTGTCACGTCTCTTGTGTCTACTGCCGCTGCTGCTTCCATGAGTGTTGCCAGATTTACTGTCTTCCCAAGATGTCTTAGCAGGCCCAAGTCGAAGATGGACAGACAAGCGTTGGGAAGCCTTTCCTTCATCGCCTTGAGCAGAAATGTAACGTTACATTTAATGAATGCCTTTAAACTGTCATTCTTATTCCTTTGCAGTCCAATTTTTTCCTAAATTAAAACAAATTTTAAATATTGCACAACTTAATTTTTAGAAGTTTTCAAAGGCTATGTTTGACTTACTCTGGGTCTCTGGGACATTGCCTGATGTGACTTGTCGATCTTCACCAGATCCTACAGTCACCAGCAAAGGCTTTCCTTCTGTGATATAAAAAAAAACCCTGTGTTAATGTAAAGCAAATATCACTCAGTCCCCCCCCCCTCTTTTTTAATCCAGTAATACAGTGTCATTGTGTATGTCCATGCTCTTCTTTGTACAGTGTTTTAAAATCTATCAATACAAAACAAGGTACAGTGGTACCCGAATTTTGGCTATAATTCATTCTGAGTGCCATTACTGAACGAATTTGTTCCCATAAGGAATACTGTAAATTAGATTAGTCCGTTTCAGACCCCCAAAAATACACTTACAAAAGCACTTACAAAAATACACTTACATAATTGTTCGAGTTGGGAGCTGTTCGAAATTCAAGGTACCACTGCATTTACCATACAACTGTATCTGTTCTTTTTCACAGATATTTGTACAGTAATGTAATAAACAATTATAATGCCATTCATTGAAGACTGCATGAAAACCCCAAACAGATATCCATATAGCATATACAATCTTTAAATGAAAATTAAAGTAATAAGAGAATTTAAAGTGGATGATATACTTAAATGCCACGAATGCAGAAAGAACTCAATGTAAGATGCAGTTATCAAATTACATCAAGTAAATGTGAATAACACTGAACAATGACAGATTTATTAGTCAGGTGAAAGTAATGTGTTTTAAACTAATGAATGCATATAGGGTGATTTCAAATCTAAACTCAGAACTAATCCAATAACTAAGTTAAAGAAAATGTGGAAATAGATTTCTCATGTACATATTTAGATGTAGTAGGTTTGTAGACAGCAACCACCTAGGGAGGTACTACTGTCAAATGCATGTGAAACAGAAACCTGTAATTGTTTTACACAATGGTAGGATTGCTGGTTTTCTTTTCCTTCTGTCTTATGAACACACAAGAAAATAGGTCACACTACATATGCATGTTCAGTACACGTATATGTATACACATCTGAATTTTCCTCATCTTCTAAATAGTTCTTCTTATCTATTTCCTTTCATCTCCATGGGGAAGTGGAACAGAATTCTTCCTCTGTAAGCCATGTGTGTCGTAAGAGGTGACTAAAATGCCAGGAGCAAGGGGCTCGTAACCCCTTCTGCTGTACAGCAGGGCCCCGCTTTACGGCGTTTCACTTTACGGCATTCCGCTAATACGGTCATTTCAAATTATGACCAAAACTCGCTATACGGCTCCCCCCACCTAACTTTCTAATACAGTCACCGCGCCCCACCCTGTTTGTTTACATTCTTCGTGAGCTCAGTAAGCACTAAGTCTCTCCATTTTGTCTGGAAACTCCAAAATTTCAAATGTTTTTAAAAGTTATTTCATATTTTATATATACTCTGATAATTATACTTATGTATACCTGTACTTAAATAAACTTACATACTGTGCTGGCATGCAGGTACACATTAAAATCAGTAAGAGTGTCTTATGTCTCCAGACTTCATATTAGTAATGCTAATAATAATCATCGAGTCTCATTTAAATGTCGTATATTACGTTAAATACACATTTTCATTAATCCATCTATGATATTTTTTCAAAATTATATAATAAACATGATACATAACATAAAAAGATGATAAATACACCCCACAATAGAATAAATAAACATAAATATGAGATGTGGTAGCAGACGACTTGCACAAGTGACGCCATATTAGAAATGATAATACGTAATAATAATAATAATCACCGAGTCTCATTAAATGTTGTATATTACGTTAATATACACATTTTCATTAATCCATCCGTGATATTTTTTTCAAAATTATATAATAAACACGATACATAACATAAAAAGATGATAAATACACCCCACAATAGAATAAATAAACATAAATATGAGATGTGGTAGCCAGATAACTTGTACAAGTGACGCCAAGAATAACATTTTCTCTAATCTAACATAAGAGAAAATGTGTTACTGGGGGTAACTGTAGAAAATTATTCCTTTCGTATGTAAGTTTATTCAGGTATACACAAATACAGTTACATAGATTATCATACATAACATATGTGTAGAGAACCTAGGATAACCCAAAAAAGTCAGAGTGACTTATTTCCATTGTCTTCACTCAGAGCATCATTTCTTCTCAAAATGATGTTACATGAGAATGGGAGTGTTCTTCTTTATTTATTCTACCGTATCAATGTAGAGACAACCTGTACACAATGTAACTTGTACACAAACCAGACGTGTACACTGTTTACAAAACTTACCTTCGCCTGGTTTGTTTACATAACTCTGCGCCTGTCCTCTCTCATGCACTCACTCATTCTTTCTCTCTCTCATTTATTCATTTTATCTCATTTACTTACTCCTGACCCTACATTAAGACTACAAATATTTTAAGGTAAGTAATGAGTGAACTGTATATACATTTTATCGCTCTGGGATGCTTAAATGTAATAGAATATTATGTGTGGGTGGGTTGGCCTGGTATGGTAGCCCAGCTGACTACCATACATACCACACTTGATTTTTTACAATAAATACTACTCATCTCACCCTATATTTTAAGGTAAGTAATGAGTGAACTGTATATATATTTTATCGCTCTGGGATGCTTAAATATCATAGAATAGTATGTGTGGGTGGGGTGGCCTGGCTGACTACCATACATACCACACTTGATTTCTTACAATAAATACTACTTGTCTCACCCTAGATTAAGACTATAAATATTTTAAGGTAAGTAATGAGTGCACTATGTGTGTATTGTACTTTTTTATTGTTTTTTGATGCCTGGTTCTATTGCTAACTTAATATATGTTAGTGTAAACATGTTATCTAGTGTTTGTATGCATTTGTAAGTGGAAAAAAAGGGTGTTCCACTTTACGGCGGTAGCCTGGAACCTAACCAGCCATATAAGTGGGGCCCTACTGTATATATTATTAAATTTGAAAGGAGAAACTTTTGTTTTTCCTTTTGGGCCACCCTGCCTCGGTGGGATATGGCTGGTTTGTTGAAAAAAACAACTTTATAAAGCTGGGATGTTTGAATGTGCATGGATGTAGTACAGATAATAATAAAGACAAAATTTCCAGTGTTATAATTTTAAAGAAGCTGGATGTCCTTGCTCTAAGCAAAACAAAACTCAAGGGAGTAGGGGAGTTTCAGTTGGGAGAAATAAATGAGACAGTTAGAGCTAAGGAAGGGGTATCAATAATGCTGAAGGATCAGTTATGGAAGGAGACGAGGGAATTTAAATGCATAAATTCAAGGATTACGTGGATTAAAATAAGGGTCGAGTGCAAAAAGTGGCTTATAATAAGTATTTATGCACCTGGAAAAATGAGGAGCATAGAGAGGGGAGATTTGGGGAAATGTTAAGTGTGTGTTTGGGAATTTTTGACCCAAGTGAGAGAGTAGTTGTGGTGGGGAACAGGAATGCTAAAGTTGGTGAAATGGTTATAGAGGGTGTGGTAGGTAAGTCTGGGGTACAAGGTGTAAATGATAATAGGGGCCTTTGATTGAACTTTGTACAGAAAGAGGTTTAGTAATAGGTAATACACATTTTAAGAAAAAAAAAAAAAGGAAAAATAAGTGTACAAAATATAATACAGTAGAGCATAATGACAGTAGTTTGTTGTACAGTGGACCCCCGCATACCGTTGGCATCACATACCGTTTATTCCGCATACCGCTCACTTTAATCGCAAAAATTTTGCCTCGCATACTGCTCAAAAACCCGCTCGCCGCTGTTCGTCCGAGACGCGTCCAATGTGCGCCTTAGCCAGCCTCACATGTTCCGCCGGTGGCATTGTTTACCAGCCAGCCTCCGCGGTAGCATCCAAGCATACAATCGTAACATTTCGTATTATTACAGTGTTTTTGGTGATTTTATCTGGAAAATAAGTGACCATGGACCCCAAGAAAGCTTCTAGTGCCAACCCTACAGCAATAAGGGTGAGAATTACTATAGAGATGAAGAAAAAGATCATTGATAAGTACGAAAGTGGAGTGCGTGTCTCCGAGCTGGCCAGGTTGTATAATAAACCCCAATCAACCATCGCTACTATTGGTGGTACAGCTGCTGCTGCTGCTGCTGCTGCTGTAGCATCGTCTGCTGCTGCTGCTGCTGCTGTAGCATCGTCTGCTGCTGCTGTAGCACTGTTGTTGGTGTGGCTTATTGAGAATATACCAAGAAACAATTAACCCCAGAGGATTTGCCACCCAGGATAACCCAAAAAAGTCAGTGTCATCGAAGACTGTCTAACTTATTTCCATTGGGGTCCTTAATCTTGTCTCCCAGGATGCAACCCACACCAGTCGACTAACACCCAGGTGAACAGGGAAAAATGCCTGGAACTAGTGCTCATATTGGTGAATTTAAAGCCAGCAAAGGTTGGTTTGAGAGATTTAAGAATCGTAGTGGCATACACAGTGTGATAAGGCCTGTTCTGGAAGAAAATGCCAAACAGGACCTACAGTACTCAGGAGGAAAAGGCACTCCCAGGACACAGTGTCTCATCAGTCATTGCTGCATCTTCAATAAAGGTAAGTGTCATTTATTCTTCATTTAGTAGACTAGTACATGCACAATATATACTGTGCATGTACTACTCTACTACTGTGCATGTATCCTTCTCTTTGTGTATAGGAAAATGTATATTTCATGTGGTAAAAAATTTTTTTTCATACTTTTGGGTGTCTTGCACGGATTAATTTGATTTCCATTATTTCTTATGGGGAAAATTCATTCGCATACCGATTATTTCGCATACCAATGAGCCCTCTTGCACGGATTAAAATCGGTATGCGGGGGTCCACTGTACTATGTATTGGTAGATAAAAGACTGATGGGTAGACTTCAAGAAGTGCATATTTATAGAGGGGCCACAGATATACCAGATAATTTTTTATTTGTAGTTACAGTGAGAGTAAAAGGTTGATGGTACATAAGGAGAATGGTATCAGCAAAGTAAGAGAGAGGTGAATGTTTATAAACTAAAGGAGGAGGCAGTTAGGGTAAGATATAAATAACTACTGGAAGAAAAATGGGCTAGTGAAAATACAGGCAATCAGGCTGAAGAGATATGAGATAGATTTAAGAATGTAGTGTTAAGAGTGTTCAACAAAAGTGTGTGGCTACAGGAAAGTGGGTGGGGGGAGGGAAGATGAACAATTGGTGGAATGATGACGTAGAGAGAGTAGTAAGAGAGAAAAGTTAACATATGAGAGTTAGCAAGGAGAGTGGTGAAGTTTTGGAGTGAGATTAGAAAAGCCTAGGGAATGAATGGATTTGAGAGTTAAAAATAGATGAGGAGAGTTGGAAGAATTGGGAAGATGGAGGGAATATTTTGAGGAACTGTTATATGTTGATGAAGATAAGGAAGCTGTGATTTTGGGCATTGAGCAGGGAGGTATAACATCTTGTAGGAGTGAGGAACAGCCAGTTGCAAGGGTGGGGGAGGTGGGTGAGGCAGCTGGTAGAATGAAAGGGGGAAAAAATAGCTGGGATTGGTGGGATAAAGACAATAATGTTAAAAGCAGATGGGGACATAGCTTTGAAATGGTTGGTGATTTTATTTAACAAATGTATGGAAGAGGGGAAGGTACCTAGGGATTGGCAGAGAGCATGCATAGCTCCTATACATAAAGGCAAAAGGGACAAAAGAATGTAAAAATTATAGGGGAATAAGCCTGTTGAGTATACCTGGTAACGTATATCGTTGAGTTATTACTAAAAGAATTAAGAGTAAGATGGAGAGCAGGATTGCAGATGAACAAGGAGACTTTAAGAAGGGTAGGGGGTGTGTAGACCAAGTATTTACAGTGAAGCATATAGGTGAACAGTATTTAGATAAGGGTAAAGAGGTTTTCATTGAATTTATGGATTTAGAAAAGGCATATGATAGGGTGGATAGGAGAGCAATGTGGCAGATGTTGCAAATGTATGGAATAAGTGGTAGGTTACTGAAAGCAGTTAAAGAGTTTTTACAAGGATAGTGAGGCTCAGGTTAGAGTATGTAGGAGAGAGGGAGATTATTTCCCAGCAAGAGTAGGCCTTAGACAGGGATGTGTGATGTTACCATGGTTGTTCAATATATTTATAGACAGAGCTGTAAAAGTGAATGCTCAGGTGTGGATTTAAGATATTAAAAATCTAACACAAAGTGGGAGTTGTCACAGTGGCTTTTTGCTGATGACACTGTGCTTTTGGGAGATTCTGAAGAGAAGTTGCAGAGGCTGGTGAACAAGTTTGGTAGGGTATGTAAAAGAAGGAAATTAAAAGTGAACGCAGGAAAGAGCAAAGTAATGAGGATAAAAAAAAATTTAGGTAATGAAAGACTGTATATCAGATTGGAGGGAGGGAGTACGGAGGAAGTGAATGTATTCAGATATTTCGGAGTGGGCTTGTCAGCAGATGGGTTTATGAAAGATGAGGTGAATCATAGAAATGAGGTGGGGGAAAAAGGTGAGTGGATCACTGAGGAGTCTGTGGAGACAAAGACCATTATCCAAGGAAGCAAAGAGGGGAATGTATTAAAAAACAATTGTGCCAATACTCTTATATGGGTGTGAAGCATGGGTGGTGAATGTTGCAACAAGGAGAAGGCCGGAGGCAGTGGAAATGTTGTGTTTGAGGATAATGTGCAGTGTGAATATAATGCAGAGAATCTATAGCTTGGAGCTTAGAAGTAGGTTCAGGGTTCCCAAAAGTATTATCCAGAGGGCTTAGGAAAGGTTGCTGAGGTGGTTTGGACATTTAGAGGACGGAACAAAGTAGAATGACTTGGAGGACATATAACCAGCATTCAAGGAGGTGGGAAGTACAGTGCCTGCACTTTGAAGGAGGGGTGTTGATATGTTGCAATTTTTTTTAACTAGTGTAGGCATGCCTCTGGCAAGACAGTGATGGAGTGAATGATGATGAAAGTGTTTCTTCTTTTTCTGGTCACCTTGCCTTGGTGGAAAATGGCCAATGTGTTAAAAAAAATATAAATTACAGTATTGCTGACAAGTTGGTGACACTTGAAAAGCATGCATGTACATGCATCAATTATGCCAATGTGATTGATATTTTAATAAAACTTACCTGAAAAAATGTGTACTATTTTTTTCAAAATGCCCATTATTTTGAGTACTGCTGATGAACTAGCAACAGCATGCACATAGTACATCTATTGTGCAATTGTGTAATGTGCTGGGGTCACCAAGAGTATAACTGAGGGTGTTGAGGTGATTTGCAGATAGTCATCAATTAAAAAAAAAAGTATTTGTCTCAGCAGGGGCTTTGGCCCCCCTTGTTACCCCTTCCCCTGTGGCTATGCCACTGTCAGTAGGTGGGTCATATATTGAACTAAGAGATAAAAACCCACCATGTTGCTTTTTCCGTCTGGTGTCTGCTTGTCTGTTCTTGCTTCCTATCATGGGCTTTGTTGGATCTTCTTTATCTTTCCTCCTCCGTTTAATTTCTCTCTCAGTTACATTTAACTTGCTTTCACTTCTTCCACCACCACCAGGTGCATCCACTTTCCGCTTCAGCATATGTCTCAGATCTGTCGAGTCAATATTGTCCTTTTTGCCTGAAACTACAACAAAACAACTAATTAAATCTAAGTCAGATATAATTCCTGGAAAACTCTTTCATTTAATTGCTTAACTGTGTCCACTGTACTAGTATGTAGGTGATGTCTGTATGACATACTAGTACACACACAATTTTTCATGCCTTCACATATGCCACCTGCCAATATTTCTGACCTCAGTATAACTGAGTCTCCTGGAACTGCTTTGTGCCTTTGAAAAAATCTAAGACCAGATGGATCTAGATAGTGCATCATGGGTAACACTGCTTAGCTAGCTTAGGTAAACAATGAAACCAGAACCTGCTGTACCACCACCAGCTTCCCTAACAGCAAATAAGGTGTGGAACTGGTAGAAAGCCTTATTCAATAATGATACTAACAGTGGTATTCAGCCAAAACACACAGGATAACCCATTATAGTCAAACAATGTGATTTATTTCCAAGTTACAATTGTAATGTCATAAGATTTCCTTGCAAATATACGTGTTACAGTTGTCCTGAAAGTACACAGGTGCTGGCACAGAAATTACATTGTTTATGTAACCCAGAATATTCCCTCAAACCTAAATGCAGTATATGCCACAATAATTACCATAACCTAGAATAAACCAATATGATCAATCAGTATGACTTATTTCCATGTTTTGAGGAGTATTACACCTTGAAATAACTTTAATGTCATAAGTATTCCATAAATAGAAGGTCCCCACTTATACAGCAGGTTAGGTTCCGGGCTACTGCTGTAAAGTGAAACAGTCTTTTTTCACTTTCCAATGCATATACAGTAGACCGTTATATTACACGGTAGTGAGGATAGTGAGGCTCAAGTTAGAGTATGTAGGAAAGAGGGAGATAATTTCCCAGTAAAAGTAGGCTTTAGACAAGGATGTGTGATGTCACTGTGGTTGTTCAATATACAGTGGACCCCAGGTTAACGATATTTTTTCATTCCAGAAGTATGTTCAGGTGCCAGTACTGACCGAATTTGTTCCCATAAGGAATATTGTGAAGTAGATTAGTCCATTTCAGACCCCCAAACATACACGTACAAACGCACTAACATAAATACACTTACATAATTGGTAGCATTGGGAGGTGATCGTTAAGCAGGGGTCCACTGTATTTATAGATGGGGTTGTAAGAGAAATAAATGCGAGGGTCTTGGCAAGAGGTGTGGAGTTAAAAGATAAAGAATCACACATAAAGTGGGAGTTGTCACAGTTGCTCTTTGCTGATGACACTGTGCTCTTGGGTGATTCTGAAGAGAAGTTGCAGAGGTTGGTGGATGAATTTGGTAGGGTATGTAAAAGAAGAAAATTGAAAGTGAATACAGGAAAGAGTAAGGTTATGAGGATAACAAAAAGATTAGGTGATGAAAGATTGGATACCAGATTGGAGGGAGAGAGTATGGAGGAGGTGAATGTATTCAGATATTTGGGAGTGGACGTGTCAGCAGATGGGTCTATGAAAGATGAGGTGAATCATAGAACTGATGAGGGGAAAAGGGTGAGCGGTGCACTTAGGAGTCTGTGGAGACAAAGAACTTTGTCCTTGGAAGCAAAGAGGAGAATGTATGAGAGAATAGTTTTACCAACGCTCCTGTATGGGTGTGAAGCATGGGTGATGAATGTTGCAGCGAGGAGAAAGCTGGAGGCAGTGGAGATGTCATGTCTGAGGGCAATGTGTGGTGTGAATATAATGCAGAGAATTCGTAGTTTGGAAATTAGGAGGAGGTGCAGAATTACCAAAACTGTTGTCCAGAGGGCTGAGGAAGGGTTGTTGAGGTGGTTCGGACATGTAGAGAGAATGGAGCGAAACAGAGTGACTTCAAGAGTGTATCAGTCTGTAGTGGAAGGAAGGCGGTGTAGGGGTCGGCCTAGTTAAGGTTGGAGGGAGGGGGTAAAGGAGGTTTTGTGTGCGAGGGGCTTGGACTTCCAGCGGGTATGCGTGAGCATGTTTGATAGGAGTGAATGGAGACAAATGGTTTTTAATACTTGACGTGCTGTTGGAGTGTGAGCAAAGTAACATTTATGAAGGGATTCAAGGAAACCGGCAGGCTGGACTTGAGTCCTGGAGATGGGAAGTACAGTGCCTGCACTCTGAAGGAGGGGTGTTAATGGTGCAGTTTAAAAACTGTAGTGTAAAGCACCCTTCTGGCAAGATAGTGATGGAGTGAATGATGGTGAAAGTTTTTCTTTTTCGGGCCACCCTGCCTTGGTGGGAATCGGCCAGTGTGTTAATAAAAAAAAAAAAAAAATTATGTTCCTGAAAATGCCATGTTAGGTAAAATCCATGTTAGATAAACTGAAGAACTTCTGGGAAAAATAGGGTTACATTCCTCGGAGCCCCCCACAAAAAAAAATTTTTTTTTTAGATCTCCAGATCTTACAAAAATAAAAGTGAATATGTAATTGTAGTTCATTGTTGTGATGTATTATGTTGTGTTTACTGCTTAAGACTACAAATGCAACAAAAATAATAGTATTTCTTACCTTAAATTGTGGATGCTGGTGTTTGTGGATGATTGTGAAGAGAGTGGAGAATTATGCTGTGGCCCTACTGGGCTGAGGTGGATGGTATTAGTTCTGGTACTGAAGTTGATGGTTGTACTGGAGTGTGCATAAATTTTGTAACGGATTTCTCTTCTATTTTACCCCGCAATATATTATACAACTTTAAGTCAGTCAGTAAATCAGTCAGCCAGTCTGTAACTCAGTCAGGTCAGTCAGTCAGTAAATCAGTCAAGTTAGTCAGTCAGTCTCAGTTATTTATCACAAACTCATATATTTACCTCATTCTTTTTAATTGCACAGTGATGCTTTATTACAGCCACAGGCTATATCTTGTCTAATACCTCTATTTTCTTCGTTAACTCTAAGACCTACACACTTATACCTTTTCCTGCCACTTTCAGCAACACTGGTATGCATACTGGGTGCCATGACTGCTTGGCAGATACAAGATACGCTAATTAAAAGATCAAAACACAATTCACAAACACGGCTAGCTCCTAAGACAGAATGGAACTGAACACGTATTCACGAAGGCTGGGATGGTGGTGGCGGGAGTGTTGGGAGTGGCAGGGGATGGTGGGAGGTCTTCCCCTCTGACCCACAACAAGGCAGCAGCTTGAGCTGGGGAAATTTTTTCCATGCCCGCAAACAGAACCATGTAAAGTTAATTTTACAGTGTTGTATAAAATTGTGCTGCACTTTTTTAATAGTGCAATAACCATAATGTGGCAAATAAATCTGTGTAATATAATGGTCTACTGTGAAAGCCTTATAACATGTATATACTATCATATATTAAGTGAGCAATAGAGCTAGGCCTAAAATATGCATATACAGTACACACATTAATTACCTTAAAATATTTTTGTCGTTAGCACATACAGTGCTAGTCATGGCATTATGTTGGGTGAGTGCTCTGGCATAATGCCGTGACAAAAATCAAAGGCCTACCACACAGAGGGGTCTTTTTTCGTCATTGCATTATGCCGGGTAGCAGCTGTTAACATGACGTCACGACCTGCTGCCACACTTCACAGTGACTCCTCAGTGCTCATGTGGCTGCCGTGGTGAGAGGAAGTGTTTCTCCAAACCTTCAAGAATTTGTGAGTCTTCCTACATGGCTGAGAGATGTGATTAAGCGTAAAGGACACATCACCAAGTACATTAAAACCTAAGTGTGTAAATACATATACATTATAAACTTCCATGGTATGTGTGTGTGTTTTGGTACGTGCATGGGGAAGGGGCGGCATAATGCCATGACTAGCACTGTAGTGAGTGGTGAATATATTTATTGTAGAAAGTCTGAATAAATGAAAAATGAGTATAACTAAAAACTGTAGACAGCCTGTACTGTCTGCGCAGACAGCCCCTACTGTCTGCCAGCTTAGTTCATATTTCGCGCCATGCTGGTGCTGCCACCTAGAGGCCTTGCCACTTCAGTATGCCCAGACATGCCTCCACCTCACTCACACAGCGACCTAGCAGGAAGACACAAGTACTCCCAGCTCTCTCTCGTGGGATGGCCCTGCCCGGGCCATGGGCACACACACACAAGCCTGTGTAACCCACCTACGACTTAACAATAAAGTAAGAAGCCTCCGAAGAAGTATATCATTAATCACCCACTTGCAGCACCTACTAAACAAGCCCGTTATAAATGGTGGCAGCGGTGTTATATGTTTTTATTTTGTTCTGTGCCCTGTTCCTACGAGAAGAGACAGAGTTTCTTTTACTACCAGTATTGTCGCGTCGGGACGACGCGCGGTAGGTGGCCGAGCGTATGTAGACAGCCTGTACTGTCTGTGCAGACAGCCCCTACTGTCTGCCAGCTTAGTTCATATTTCGCACCATGCTGGTGCTGCCTCCTAGAGGCCTTGCCACTTCAGTATGCCCAGACATGCCTCCACCTCACTCACACAGCGACCTAGCAGGAAGACACAAGTACTCCCAGCTCTCTCTCGTGGGATGGCCCTGCCCGGGCCATGGGCACACACACACAAGCCTGTGTAACCCACCTACAACTTTACAATAAAGTAAGAAGCCTCCGAAGAAGTATATCATTAACCACCCGCTTGCAGCACCTACCAAACAAGCCCGTTATAAAACTGCTGCATTAGCAAAATGCTACAAAACAAAGTGCTGTAAGTGGGTCTCCCCTGTACATAGTGTTACAAGACCAAAGCAGAAAAAAAAAGCTTATTTGCACTAATTTATACTGCATATTCCAAGCGGAACAATGCTGGACTATGCATTTGCCTATGTTTGAAGTACTAAAACAACATAAAACACATCTAATACCATTAAAAAACTAGTGTACACAAACATTAAAAACAATAAAAAGTTGGAAAAAAAAAAAATCATAATTTGACATAAAAAAATTGCAAAATGTAAAAATCGATGGCACATTTATGTCTGTTGATTGTAACTTCAACTCTATGCATCTTTTATCAGCCTAAACACTATTCTATATTTAGAGGTCGACACCTGTGAAGAGACAAATTTCTCAATGATGTATGTTGACTATCTGCAAATTCAGATCAGCACTACATTTTGTAGTAAGCTTGTTTACCATTTATAAACCTCGGTTCTTAATATGTTGTACTCAGTGAGTTGTATGTTGAGAACTCGAGACATAGCCCCTGGTCTGCCTGCTAGACTTGTTTGATTGTCATTACTGATTTCTGGCCTATTTGGCCTTGTTTACTCTTAAAACTGTGTATTGTGTGCTTCAGCCTCTGCCCTAAATTATTCCACTTTTCAACCATGCTGATATTAAAGAAATACAGCACTCCTCACTTAGCGATGTACAGTACAGTGGATCCCTGCTTAACGATCACCTCCCAATGCGACCAATTATGTAAGTGTATTTATGTAAGTGCGTTTGTACGTGTATGTTTGGGGGTCTGAAATGGACTAATCTACTTCACGATATTCCTTATGGGAACAAATTCGGTCAGTACTGGCACCTGAACATACTTCTGGAATGAAAAAATATCGTTAACCGGGGGTCCACTGTACTTGTTTACCGATGACTCGGACTTATGACCAGCTCTCCAACCAGTATGCATACCTAAATAATGTATATTAGAGCTGATTTTTTCTATTCTGTTTCTATTATACTGTATAAACATTTAAAAATATACTAAAATTGTTATAATGGTGCAAAGGCGACATTAAAACAATATCAAAGATGGGTGACACAAACCCACTACCATTAAAGTATGCTCCTTGCTTAGCGAAGAATTCGTTTATCAATGTGGTCTTAGGAACGGAACCCCATCATTAAGTGAGGAGAGGCTGTACTGCACTTCCTTAAATCATTATGGCTCATTTGTATTTTCAACTTCCAGCTGTGTTCCTTTGATCTCAATCCACTTTACTCAAACAGTCTGTTCCTATCTGCTATATCAATTCCTTTTAAGATTTTTTATGTAATTATCAAGTCCTCCTTTGTCTTTGTCTTCCCTAAGGCCATGAACCTTGCCTCATAGTGAATTCCTCTCAATTCTTACACTACTAGCCTGGCTGTAAACCTTTGGAGCATTTCAAGAATTTTCAAGTACATGTACGCATAAATGTAGAGACTGGATAATTATTATTAGTATATTTGGGCAAAGTGTTAAATTAACAGGGGTCAAACAGGGCCTGGGAAAAGAGAGGCAATCGAGTCTGATCCAAGGAAGGAGAGGAAAAGTCTAATTTTTAGGATAAAAGTCACTCAACAGCATTAGCCCTTTGAGGGTCGAGAGGCCCTCTCCGAGACTCATTCTCAGGGTCGGCCAAATTAACAAAAAAAAAAAAAAAAAAAAAAAAAAAAAAAAAAAAAAAAAAAAAAAAAAAAAAAAAAATCTCTTGTGAAAAGATAGAGAATCTTTTCCCGATCATATTGACACCAAAAGTTTGAAATTTGATGGAAAACTTACGGAATTATGCTCTTGCGAAGTTAGCGGTCTCGGCGATCTTTACGCATCGGCGATTTTGCCCACTTTGAAGCTCCATTTTCGGCCAATTCCACTGTACTAGTCGACAAAAAACATGAATATTTCACTAGAACTCCATTTTTTCTATCGAATGAGTGCAAGAAACCACCCATTTATCAATTTCAACTATCTAGTACAGTGGTCAGAATTTAGCAATTTTGCCAATTTCCGAATTGGGTCCAGAATAAACAAGCAAGACATTCCTGGCACTAAAATGACATTTCCTCTGTTCATTAGTCACGTCTCAAGGCCCCTCTTATATTCTTTTGCTTTCCACTTTGAATTTTTATTCTCACAAAAAATAGAAGATTTACTGTTATGCAGACTACTGCATTAGTGTAAAAAATGGTATAAATAATATTGGCGCACTTGCAAAAGAATATTAGACTCACCAGTTGACGTGTATTCGACGCTTGGCATGATTTGTTTACTTTTGAACTTTGGTAAAAATCGAACATTTCTGCTAATTTGAGCTCAATTTCAAGGTACTTTTCATTGTAAAACTAGTCAAAATCATCTCAATTTCTGTAATATGTCTTCCATTCTATAAAGTGAGACCAAGAAAACTAGAATACAACAATAAATATCATACAAAAATACAGTGCAAAGTCGCTGTTTTATTCCAAAAAAACGGTCATTTTTTTTCTCATTATGCACTGTGTGCTGCAGGATTTTTTTTTATAATGTGCACACTGACCACATAGACCCATTCTTTCATATGTAGAACTACCAGCTTTCTCCCACTAGATTTGAGGGTGCTAGAATTTAGGCATACTAGTACGTCAAAAACCCTGGGTCGTAAGCCGTACTAGTACGGCCGAAACCCTCAAAGGGTTAAGGAACCACTCTTGAGAAGGGCAGATATTGTTAAATAATAACAAAACTTCAAAATTATATTTCAGAACAAATTTCACAGGGAAGAATGACATCGGTAGAATAATGAGGAGGTGCGGGATTACCAAAACTGTTGTCCAGAGGGCTGAGGAAGGGTTGTTGAGGTGGTTTGGACATGTAGAGAGAATGGAGCGAAACAGAATGACTTCAAGAGTGTATCAGTCTGTAGTGGAAGGAAGGCGGGGTAGGGATCGGCCTAGGAAAGGTTGGAGGGAGGGGGTAAAGGAGGTTTTGTGTGCGAGGGGCTTGGACTTCCAGCAGGCATGCGTGAGCGTGTTTGATAGGAGTGAATGGAGACAAATGGTTTTTAATACTTGACGTGCTGTTGGAGTGTGAGCAAAGTAACATTTATGAAGGGGTTCAGGGAAACCGGCAGGCCGGACTTGAGTCCTGGAGATGGGAAGTACAGTGCCTGCACTCTGAAGGAGGGGTATTAATGTTGCAGTTTAAAAACTGTAGTGTAAAGCACCCTTCTGGCAAGACAGTGATGGAGTGAATGATGGTGAGTTTTTCTTTTTCGGGCCACCCTGCCTTGGTGGGAATCGGCCAGTGTGATAATAATAATAAACATTAGATACTAGAATTAGTACAATAATTACCATGAATACAAGACAAAAGGAAGTCTTGAGAACTACTCACCTTCTTTAGTGTTTTTTGTCACAGACGATTGTTTTTCTTCCTCTTCGCTATCACTTTCTATTTTCTTGTGCTTCTTTTTCTTCTTTTTGCTTTCTTTCTTCTTTTTCTTTTCCTTTTTCTTCTTCTTACTAGATTTGCTCTTTTCTGATGTATCATCATCCTCCTCCTCTTCATCCTTTGCCTTTTTCTTTTTCTTCTTCTTTTTTTTGTCAACAACTTCCTCCTTCGGCTTTTCTTCTTTTATTTTCTTTTCCTCTTCAACCTCCTTTGAAGGTTCAATTGATTTCAGCACAATTTTTCGATGTTCTTGAGAAGGCACGGGATTATTCGTTTCAAATTTCTTACGGCGAGCCTCTAGTTTCTCTTGCACCTGAGTTGATTTGTTGTCTGCTTTAACTGGCTGTTGCTTTATTTCTTCAGGGGAAACTTCTTCCTTGATCTTCTTCTCTACATGCTCTCTTCCTTTATTTATAGTAGCATCTTCTGTCTTTATATCTAGTTTGACTTTCTTAGCTGGATTTTCATTAATACTGCCTGTTGGAGACAGAGAGCGATCACGTACGCCATGCCCTTGTTTTTCCGGAGTAACTGGCTCAAGCCATGGGCTACCATTACGCCCTTGTCTTTCTGGGAACTGCTCCTGCAAAGAATTTGAATCCAGTTTTTCTACCCGAGAGTCATTTTTGGTATCTCTCTTTTCCCAGCTGGCAGTAGTGACATTCCTCAAATGACCCCCTGGACTTCTTGATCGTTGCTGGCTAGCAGCAGCTTCAGATCTAGGTAGCAGCTGTCTTCGATTTCGGAAAGAGGGACTCTGAAGCTTGTTTCCTCTACCTCCTCGGCCTCGACCTGATGCATTGCCTCCCCTCACATTGCGAGATCTACCTGGAGATCTATTTCGAAGAGGAGATTTTTGTCTGTTATCTGTTTTCCTTGGTGATTCTAGCCGCCGATCCTTTCTATCATGCTGACCTTGACTTCCTGATTCATCTCTATTTCTGTCTCTCACATCTTCAGGCTGTTTTTCATTTCGCCTTCTATCACCCTGGAATGGAGAATGACTCCTTGGCAACTGCAATCGCTGTTTGTGTGGAGCACCAGCTTGAATACGATGCCCTGCTGGAGGAGGGCTGTTCCCGAGAAGAGGGCGTCTTTGAGGCAGTTGGTTAGGACCACTACGATTTGGTGGCGGTTGTCTTTCATGGGTAGGAAGGTGTGGGGAGCCTTGTCTTCGTGTTTGCAGTGGTACTTTATTCTCTTGATACAGGGCATGCGGTCCTCTTAATGTCTTTTGTCCATCCCTTGGCCCTGGTCGTGGAGAAATCTTCTTAGCTACAGGCATAGGAGGAGTTCTTGGCCCTCGCCTGTTCTGTGGCACTGTGGGAATTCGCCCTCTAGGTGACATAGGCCCCCCTCTTCCAGCATGTGGAAATGCTTGCGATCTAACAGAGAATGGAGAACTTGATCGTGACCTTTCTCTAATTCGAGTCAATTGTCTGTTGGGTGATAACTGATGTCTTCTTTCATTTGGACCCTGAGGTGGTAATTCATTCTCAAATCGTCCAGGAGGTTCATGTCTCAGAGGTGATCTACCTCGATGAGCTGGAGGTGACACATGCCTGGGCCCATGGAAGCCCTGCCCTCGGCCAGGGGGTATCAACATCCCCTGTCCTCTACCATGAGGCATCAACATCCCCTGTCCTTGTCGGCCATGACCAGGCGCATTATACGGTTGCCCTCTGCCTGCTGCAAAAATATGTTCGGGATGTGGAAAAATTGGGGGCCCTGGGCGATCTCTCTGCTGGTAATGACCTTCCCATGGACTATCAGGTAGTAATCGATGGGGTGAAAACTGATCCCTTAACTCTCGCCTTCCTGGATGCTGCCAAACAGGTTCATCAGGAGGTCTTGGGACAGGTTCATTAAATTCCACGAAATGTTGAGGTGGCTGAAGGCCATTTACAGGTATATGAGGTGGTCTGTTAATAGGATAAAGACCAAATTCAGGTGGGAAATCATGAGGTCTTCCACCACCTACCACTGTACTACCATCTTGAGGAGAAAATCTTTCATTATGAACTATACTGTCAATAGGTCTTACAAAGCCTGGTCTATGGAATGAACCTCTAGGAGACCCACTTTCCACTGAGGACCTATCCACCATTGCTGAGGTCATGCCTCCTAACCTGCCATGTGGTGATAGACTTCTGGAATTAGCAACATACGGACTAACAGATCTTCTGAAAGCACCAGGACTTCTTGATCTCTTTGCCCTAGGCCCCCAATCTCGTCTGACACCAGGACTAGGTGACCTATCAACAGAACTATGGCTTCTCATAGGTAAGGCAGCACTCCTCCTGTTAAATGGGGGACTATGTGAATTTAACTTCCTTTCAACAGCTGGGCTTCTGGAAAACCTTGGCAATCTATGGCCAGGACTATGGGATTTGTGTGAGGAAGGCGAGGTCCTGTGAATTCGTCTAGGAGATGGACTTCTAGCAACACGATGAGGTGACATGTTTCTCGATCTCACAGAAGGAAGAGGACTTTTTGAAAGGCGTCGAGGGACTGGGCTCCTTGAAGTTATGTGACCAGGACTTCTTGAAATCCGCCGTGGTAGTGGACTTCTTGAAATTCGTCGTGGTGGAGGACTTCTTGAAAGACGATGTGAAGGAGGAGTTCTTGAAAACCTTCTCAAAGGTGAGTTTCTTAAGGGCCGACGAGGCTTTGGGCTTCTTGAAAACCGTCGAAGTGGACTCCGGGACAGCCGTCGTGGCTGAGGACTTCTAGAAAAGTGTCTTGGTGGAGGACTTCTTGAAAGTCTTCTGTGGAGTGGACTTTGTGAAGGTCGGTGGGAAAGTGGACTCCTCGAATGCCTTTGTCGATGAGGGCTCTTTGAAATACGTAAGGGTGGAGGGCTTCTGGAGAGTTTACGTGGTGGAGGGCTCCTGGAAAGTCTTCGTGGGGGAGGGCTCCTGGAGAGGTTCCGTGGCAAAGGACTCCTGGAATGTTTCTGTGGTGGAGGAGTCCTAGAGTGTTTGCGCGAAAAAGGACTTCTTGACAATTTTCGTGGCGGTGGCGTTCTAGAATGTTTTCGTGGCACAGGACTTCTGGAGAGTCGCCTAGGTGGAGGGCTCCTGGAAGTTCTATGTGGTGGAGAGTTTCTTGAATCTCTACGAGGAGGTGGACTCCTTGTGACACGACGAAGTGGAGGACTTCTTGATCCCCTACGAGGTAGGGGACTCCTGGTGACTCGACAAGGTAATGGACTTCTCGAGCTTCTGTGAGGAGGTGGGCTTCTTGAACTTCGCCGTAATAAGGGACTTCGCCTTGGTAACAAGCTTCTTGACCTTCTTTTAGGACATGGGCTTTTACTTCTTGCTCTTTGTGGGCTTTTACCTCTACCTGATAAAGGACTTTTTAGCCTTCCTTTAATTGGGCTCCTGGATAGTCTGTGAGGGGAGGAACCTCTCAAAGGTATCCTTGAGTTTGGACTTCTAGAGCTTCTTCTTGGAAAAGGGCTTCTAGAGCTTCTTCTTGGTAGAGGGCTTCTAGAACTTTTTCTCGGAAGAGGACTCCTTGAGCTTCGTCTAAAGATTGGACTCCTAGAATTTCTCCTGGGCAATGGACTCCTGGAGGTTCTTCTAGGAGGTGGACTTCTGGAACTTCTTCTAGGTAGTGGGCTCCTGGAACTTCTTCTAGGCAGTGGGCTCCTGGAACTTCTTCTAGGGGGTGGACTCCTGGTGGCTCTTCTAGGGGGTGGACTCCTGGAGGCTCTTCTAGGATGTGGACTCCTGGAGCCTCTTCTAGGTGGGGGACTCCTGGAGTTTCTTCTAGGAGGTGGGCTCCTAGAACTTCTTCTGGTATATGGACTCCGAGAGTTTCTTCTTGGGACAGGACTCCTAGAAATTCTTCTTGGAAAGGGACTCCTTGACCGTAACCCAGGACTCTGTGATGTCTGCTGGGGACTTCTTACTTTAGGCCAAGGAAGTGGACTTCTGGATCTTCTTGGAGGTGGACTTCTTGATTTTGAGTGAGTGGGCAGACCTCTGGAGCTGCCCTGAGGAACTGGACTCCTCAAACTTGTTCTAGGTGGAGGGCTCCTAGATCCTTGACGATGCACTGGGCTACGTGCTTTGGAATTAGGAGATGCCCATGATCTGTTATTTGGAGGACTTGTTGATATTCTCCGTACTGCTTGGCGTGGGGAGACTTGAGCACTGGCATATTTCTTTGGAGGTGGACTAACTGATACTCTTCTAACTGGAGCAGATACTTTATGAGTGGAGGGGATATTATGGGTGGCAGAGGTTTGTGCAGGAGGGGATTTAGACATCAGGCCCTTGCCAGAATGTTGCCTTTGTCGAGTGCCACTTGTAACTTGCGGACCAGACTTCTTATCCCCAAGTGATGAATCTCTCTTGGTTTCTTTAGATACTTTCCGTGTATCTATAGAACTATTATCACTTTCTGAATCCGAGCCACTAGAACTTCCAGAGCTGCTGCCACTACTGCTGCCACTGGTGTCACTGCTACTATCACTGCTGTCAGATTCACTGTCTTCACTATCACTCTCGCTATCTGATCCTTGCATACGACGCCATCTTGCACTCATTTTTTCTTTTGGTTTAGTATTTGGTTCTGGAGGAGCTTTCTCCACATACTTATCTTGTGGAAGTGCAAGTTGTGGAGTTGGGGGTCTAACCATATTAGAAGATTGTAAGGATTTATCCACATAACCTCTCCCACGTCCTCTCCCTCGTCCACGATTGAAACCACGGTTACCCCGCCATCCACGATTCTGTCCATAGTAAAAATTCCTCTCTTGATAAAAGTTTCTGTCCTGTCCCATGTGGTGATGAGGGGGATTGAAGTTTCTATTGTAATTCTGAGCTCCAACACAGGAATAATTGTTATATTGCTGGTATGGTGATTCCTTTCAAGCTCCTGCAGAAGAAAGCATATAAAATTTAAATATGGAGGAAAATTTATACAGGATAAAAGAATCAATTTTAGGAAGAATCAATCCAAGGTGCCATGCTAGTTCACATCAACCCTCTCCACGCTTCCATGTCAACGTGTAATAACAACTAGACTATAAGGCAAGATACAGTAATAATTTATGCCCAGTAGAATATATTAAAAAATAATCAAATCTGGAGGTCTCTGTAAACACAATTTAGAAAGTTCCATAAATTGCCACAAGGGGGTTATAAAGCCCAAAACCAATACTGAAAACTATACATGATGCCAATACACATGTGCTAAGCTTTCAACAATTCACTGTGATATTACTGTAAACAAATGGCCTTCTAAATTTTTAAAACAGAGTACAGTACATGTATAATAATAAAGTGTAACTTTAAACACTTGGATACAGTTCTTGCCAGGCAAAGTAGTTCATATATTTGATTTAGAAGGAATGAGAAAAATTACTGTATTTTCTGTCATGTAAGATCCACTGAAACATTAGGTGCACCCTAATTGTAGAAAGTTTTTTTCTTATGAGAAACAATCTTGTAGTGTAGGTACATGACACACATGTACACGTTGACCATCACTAACCCGGTAATCAGTAATCCGGTTCCATCAGTAATCCAGTACTAATTTGGGCTAGAACAATTTCAAATTTCCAGGGTCACAACACCAACCTGCTGCTACTGTTACTTGCTGCATAAGTCATTCCAATTTCTTTTTCTCCATTTATTGCTACAACCTGCTCACTCTTAGCCCTAGCCATGGGTCCAACAAATAAAAGAAATGCTTCTCAATGTGCAAAGCACATACATTGTAAATTGTCCATAAAAGATAAGGTAGCTTTGAAGCCACTGTCGGTCGCCTTGAGCTCAGCTCACTCAGATAAGCTGTGACTGGTAAATTTGGGCCTACATGTGAGAGAACAGGTCTGTGTAATAAGTGTGCACTATACAGTGGTACCTTGATTTACAATTTTTATTTGTTCCGTGACCGAGCTTATAACTCAATCTGCTCATATATCAAATCAATTTTCCTCGTTGAAATTAACTGAAATGACATTAATCCATTCCAGCCCCCAAACAACAGCCCCAATCTTTTTGTTACGGGTTTTTAAATAAGAAAAATATACTTATAAATAAGAAATATTTATTTTTATATTTTATTATCACACTGGCCGATTCCCACCAAGGCAGGGTGGCCCGAAAAAGAAAAAACTTTCACCATCATTCACTCCATCACTGTCTTGCCAGAAGGGTGCTTTACACTACAGTTTTTGAACTGCAACATTAACACCCCTCCTTCAGAGTGCAGGCACTGTACTTCCCATCTCCAGGACTCAAGTCTGGCCTGCCGGTTTCCCTGAACCCCTTCATAAATGTTACTTTGCTTACACTCCAACAGCACGTCAAGTATTAAAAACCATTTGTCTCCATTCACTCCTATCAAACACGCTCACGCATACCTGTTTCGCTCCATTCTCTCTACATGTCCGAACCACCTCAACAACCCTTCCTCAGCCCTCTGGACAACAGTTTTGGTAATCCCGCACCTCCTCTTAACTTCCAAACTATGAATTCTCTGCATTATATTCACACCACACATTGCCCTCAGACATAACATCTCCACTGCCTCCAGCCTTCTCCTCGCTGCAACATTCATCACCCATGCTTCACACCCATATAAGAGCGTTGGTAAAACTATACTCTCATACATTCCCTCTTTGCCTCCACGGACAAAGTTCTTTGTCTCCACAGACTCCTAAGTGCACCACTCACCCTTTTCCCCTCATAAATTTTCTATGATTCACCTCATCTTTCATAGACCCATCCGCTGACACGTCCACTCTCAAATATCTGAATACATTCACCTCCTCCATACTCTCTCCCTCCAATCTGATATCCAATCTTTCATCACCTAATCTTTTTGTTATCCTCATAACCTTACTCTTTCCTGTATTCACTTTTAATTTTCTTCTTTTGCACACCCTACTAAATTCATCCACCAATTTTTTGAACTTCTCTTCAGAATCTCCCAAGAGCACAGTGTTATCAGCAAAAAGCAACTGTGACAACTCCCACTTTTATGTTTGATTCTTTATCCTTTTAACTCCATGCCTCTTGTCAAGACCCTCGCATTTACTTCTCTTACAACCCTATCTATAAATATATTAAACAACCACAGTGACATCACACATCCTTGTCTAAGGCCTACTTTTACTGGGAAATAATTTCCCTCTTTCCTACATACTCTAACTTGAGCCTCACTATCCTCGTAAAAACTCTTCACTGCTTTCAGTAACCTACCTCCTACACCATACACCTGCAACATCTGCCACATTGCCCCCCTATCCACCCTGTCATACGCCTTTTCCAAATCCATAAATGCCACAAAGACCTCTTTAGTCTTATCTAAATACTGTTCACTTGTATGTTTCACTGTAAACACCTGGTCCACACACCCCCTACCTTTCCTAAAGCCTCCTTGTTCATCTGCTATCCTATTCTCTGTCTTACTCTTAATTCTTTCAATAATAACTTTACCATACACTTTACCAGGTTTACTCAACAGACTTATCCCCCTATAATTTTTGCACTCTCTTTTGTCCCATTTGCCTTTATACAAAGGAACTATGCATGCTCTCTGCCAATCCCTAGGTACCTTACTCTCTTCCATACATTTATTAAATAATTGCACCAACCACTCCAAAACTATATCCCCACCTGCTTTTTAACATTTCTATCTTTATCCCATCAATCCCGACTGCCTTACCCCCTTTCATTTTACCTACTGCCTCACGAACTTCCCCCACACTCACAATTGGCTCTTCCTCACTCCTACAAGATGTTATTCCTCCTTGCCCTATACACAAAATCACAGCTTCCCTATCTTCATCAACATTTAACAATTCCTCAAAATATTCCCTCCCTCTTCCCAATACCTCTAACTCTCCATTTAATAATTCTTTTCTCCTATTTTTAACTGACAAATCCATTTGTTCTCTAGGCTTCCTTAACTTGTTAATCTCACTCCAAAACTTTTTCTTATTTTCAACAAAATTTGTTGATAACATCTCACCCACTCTCTCATTTGCTCTCTTTTTACATTGCTTCACCACTCTCTTTTTCTCCATATACTCTTCCCTCCTTGCATCACTTCTACTTTGTAAAAACTTCTCATATGTTAACTTTTTCTCCCTTATTACTCTCTTTACATCATCATTCCACCAATCGCTCTTCTTCCCTCCCGCACCCACTTTCCTGTAACCACAAACTTCTGCTGAACACTCTAACACTACATTTTTAAACCTACCCCATAAGAAATATTGTATAAAAACATAATAAAAGAGAATGTAAAGAAATAAACTGGTTTTATAAGGTGTATTTACCTTGGAGATCAAACGACCAGGGCTAACGGAAGATGCTGGCGGAGGTGGAGGGTGGAAAAGACAGGCAGAGGAGATTGGAGGATTTATTTTGTTTTGTGCTTTTTGGTCAATTTTGTTTGTCATCAACTCTAGCGCTTAATCGCTTAACTATTTCTACACTCTTATTGCTATACTCCATCTTTTCATGGACAGTTGTCTACAGCTTAGAAATTATTTTAGTGCCCTTGGCTGGCATTATAGCCTTTCTCGCCTCCTGCTTTAGTATGCTATATATTGTAGAAGTGCGTACTACACTCATACTACCTCACCAAGCCGACTACACCCACACCTCACTCTTGTTTTTCTATGATTTCATGCTTTAATTCAATGGACATCATACTCTTCTTCTCAGCACCGTCCTTTGCACTTATTTTCTTAGGACCTATGGTTAGAAAAAAGAAATTTGGCAAAATAAGTGCACAAAAAACGCAAGCACAACACAAGAGATGCTTCCATGGCGAGGTAACCACGTGCACTGAACGAGTGAGACACAGGATGCTGGGTGGATGTTGTGGCGTTCGCTGCACCAACTAGTGGTGACATACCTGAAGCTCGTTCATAACTCGAATTTTGGCTCGCAACTCAAAGCAAAAAATCGACCAAGCGACAGCTTGTAACCTGGAAAATTCGTAAGTTGGGGCACTTCAAGTCAAGGTACCACTGTATAAAAAAAAAATCCTGCAGCACGCAGTGCATGAGAAAAATTGGCAACTGTGCTTTTGGTGTAAAACAGCGACTTTACAGTATATTTCCGTATGGTTTGTATGGTTGTATTCTCATTTTTTTGGTCTTTGATAGAATGGAACATACTTTACAGAAATAGATATAATTTTGATTGGTTTTACGCAAGAAAGTACCTTAAAATTTAGCTCAAAGCAGCAGAAATGTTCGATTTTTGCCGATGTTCAAGAGTAAATAAATGATGTCACCGTCCAACATGTGTCCAACTGGCCAGTCTAATATGCAGTAACAAATGGGGTGACATTATTTATACAATTATTACAATAATGTAGTAGTCTGCATAATGGTAAATCTATTTTTTGTGTGAATAAAAATTCAAAATGGAAAGCAAGTGTAATATAAGAGGGGCCTGGAAATGTGACTAATGAACAGAAAATGTTATTTTAGTGCTAGGAATGTCTGCATTCTTTATTCTGGACCCTATTTTGAAATTGGCATCTCTTGAAATTTGTGTGAAATTGGCCAAATTACCAATTTCTGACCACTTTATTGGGTAGTTAAAATTGGTAAATGGGCAGTTTCTTGTGCTCAATTGACAGTTAGAAGGAATACTAGTGAAGTAGCTATGAGTTTGGTAGACTGGAACAATGGAATGGGCCAAAAATAGGGTGTAAAGTGTTGGAAATTGCCAATGTGTAAATATCGCCAGTGGGTTAAATGCATTCTAACCTAACCACTCTGTAATCCGGCAAAATCACCAATCCGGCACTCTACAGGTTCCGATGATGCTGGATTAGTGATGGCAAACCTGTACTCAACTATTTATACAAACAACAAGAATTATAGGGAAGGGCAGTAAAAGATGGAGGGAGAGAGAGAAAGAGGTAGGATACCTGAAGGATGTTTTTGGAGTTAAAGCATTGAATTTGTCAGTAAGTACTGCAATACTTAACTCTCGAGAATAGTTCATAACAATGAAGAACAGATAGTTTAGATGTGTGTGGGGGGGGGGGGTGAAGTGATAAGCTGTTGGGAGGTGGTGGCAAACTGTGGAAAGTGCACTGTGGGGGCTTTAAACCTAATAATCTAAGCAATTCTGTTCTTATGGTCCATGTTATAACAGCATATGACTGTATATGAAAATGGATTGGTATTACTTCATACCGATAGTTACATAAGATTATAACTGCTCGTGACACTGTAAAGCTCCAAACTTAATGCTCAACACACATCATTCCCCAGACCTACATCTTTCTCATTAATACAGTATATGGTAAATTTAGCACTATACATGGTGTAGTCCCATACCAAGTACATTATATGAAGCTATATTATTTTTTTTTTTTTATCACACTGGCCGATTCCCACCAAGGCAGGGTGACCCGAAAAAGAAAAACTTTCACCATCATTCACTCCATCACTGTCTTGCCAGAAGGGTGCTTTACACTACAGTTTTTAAACTGCAACATTAACACCCCTCCTTCAGAGTGCAGGCACTGTACTTCCCATCTCCAGGACTCAAGTCCGGCCTGCCGGTTTCCCTGAACCCCTTCATAAATGTTACTTTGCTCACACTCCAACAGCACGTCAAGTATTAAAAACCATTTGTCTCCATTCACTCCTATCAAACACGCTCACGCATGCCTGCTAGAAGTCCAAGCCCCTTGAACACAAAACCTCCTTTACCCCCTCCGTCCAACCTTTCCTAGGCCGACCCCTACCCCGCCTTCCTTCCACTACAGACTGATACACTCTTGAAGTCACTCTGTTTCGCTCCATTCTCTCTACATGTCCGAACCACCTCAACAACCCTTCCTCCATATCTGAGGAGTCACATAAAATTATGCTGCTACTCAGTAAGTGCTACAACCATTGGAAATTTTAAAAATTATATGAAGAACATACTAATGAAAATGGAACACCATAAGCATAGCACTTCTCCTGTAGTTACAAACAGGTAATTATTACTACACCAGCTGGCTCCATGCAACAACACTAAACACAAATCATATCCCCAGGTCATAACTTCTTTCTGACCAATATATGATAGATGTATTACATACGACATTAGTGTTAGAATTCTATATACAGCTTCTCCTCACCTAGTGACGTACTTGTTTACCGACGACTCGGACTTACGATGGGCTCTCTGACCAGTATGCATACCTAAATAATGTATATTAGAGCTGATTTCCTCTATTCTGTTTATTACAATATACAGTACACTACTGTATAAACATTTAAAAATATACCAGAAATGTTATAAATGGTGCAAAGGTGACATGAAAACAATTTTAAAGATGGCTGACACAAACCCACTACCCTTATAGTATGCTTCTCACTTTGCGATGAATTCATTTACTGACGTGGTCTTAGGAACGGAACTCCATCGTTAAGTGAGGAGAGGCTGTATATTGTATATGAAACTGAATTTTTATTTTATATTCTTCAAGTTAGACAAAACTATACAGCAGTCACCATCAACAGGTTCCTTGCATCATCAGTACTCTATACCTAGAGAGCTTGCAGATCTTTCCACGAGTTTTGTATATAGTACGTATATCATATTTTCCTTATTAATCAACATTAACAACTGATGTAGATTTTACCCAAGAGGACTTAGTACCATTAATGAATCAGTAAATGACCAGCCATTCTTCTAGGGAACTGACCTACATTTTCCTGCTTTTGCTCTAAATATCAAAATGTAATAAGCTAGACAGCCCATTCCCAACAGAGGTGATTCTGGATCAATAAAATTCATACTAATGATGTTTGAAGAACGGGTTTTGGGAAACGATTTATCTTAAAATGGTTCTTACTACATATACCTGTATTCATGGTATTTGTTTATTCCATTATCACAGTTTGCCATACAATAAATCCTCCATATAACAAACTAATAAGGGTTAAGCAGGTGGCCAATAATGCCAATTGTGGTGGATAGAGAAGAGACTGTTCTGCTCTGATTGTAACAATATGGGACAACTCTGTAACCAATGGAGTTGATGTGTTGCTTCTAAACTGATTTACCCAACAGATTTTATTCTGCATTTCTGAAGTCTGTTACAAAGAGGTCCATTATGTGGAGGGCTTATGTGTGTTTTACATTTACTCAATACGATGTTTTTTAAAAAAATGTTTACGATATTTTAACAGGTTACAAGTTTCACCGAGTTCATCAGAGGTGCTGGATTTCTGGTTTATTCTAGGGGCCTTGAATCCAACTCTTCGGCTCATTGATATCTCTTAAAACTGTAAACATGGACAACTCTCAGCCTCATTGTTGTCCAAAGATTTTAATAGTTTCTGCCTTTCCTTTCACATTTTTAATGGTGGATGGGTGTTTTATTTCTACTTCTTTCACAATTTTACTGTATAGCACTCACATTATCTCCATAAAACGCTAATAAAAATATGTTCCAAGCCGTAAGAATTAGCTGCCGTGTTACTATGTGTACTCTGAATTCTGCTGTGATTACCACTGGGATGACAGCAGGAATGAAGGACTAGAAGGATCAAGGATGCCTTTTGTCCAGGCACTGGGCTGTGGCAAGGCTCCTCTTGATGTAGTTGACTTCATTTTCTAACATGCCATTCCTTGGAGCTTTCACAGGTCAAAAACATAGAGGGTCTCAGGGTAGAGGAATGTGCCTGTCACTGAGATAGGGACGGACGAAAGAAAGTTTCTGGAATAAGGTATACTCATGGCTGAGAGGTAGGTGATTTGCTTGGACCCTGGACCCTGGAGTTTACAGTAGTTGTATGCCATATATTCTACAAGATGTGTCCCAGCTGGAATATTTGAGTCACTGTTGCAACTTATCTTGGTGTTGGAGATGCAAGAGTCTGACACTGACTAGTGCTGCTAGTAAGCAGGGTTTGTGCACTCCTGCTAAATTACTTTGATGTTCTGGTAGGATTTGCATCACCAGTTCATTGGATGTTGTGAAGGAGGATAAAGGTGTATGTCTGTACAATCCACTCAGTCTAACTGGAAGAGTTCCTTTTACCTGCTTTGAATCATCCAGAGAAACAATGAATTTTTTTTCTAGTATGGACTTCAGAAGGATGTCTTAATAACCAGTTTAGTGGCTGCTGAAGGATCAAGATCACAAAAGGTAGGTTAACTTAGGGAGGGATAGGCATCAACTGATGAAGAAACATTGTTTGCATCAATGTCTGCAATCCTGTCTTCCATCTGTTTCCAACTTAGTTGCCACTAATTAGAAAGTCTTGTCAAGCACACCTGTGGCTTACCTTGGGCTAATTTTGAGTTTTTCTACTCTCGCAGCCCAGCCTGCAGATAAGGCTTCCCTGGTAACCATGTGATCAGCCAGGCTATTGCTGTTTACAGCTGGAAAGCCTACGTACCCAACATGGCCCAGATGATCTAGCACTTTTGTATGTAATTTTTGACTATTCAGTATGCTCAATAAAAGCATTCCTCTCAAACTTGGATAGGCTGAATAAACTCACCTGAGCTGGTCTAAATGGCCGTGCTCTCTCTGCTGGGAAAGGTCTGTTTATATTTCGTTGCTTTTCATGGTTTGGCTCATGAGCAGGAGAAACCTCCGCTTCATTCACCCTCTTGCTCAGTAGTGCCTGGATACGCAACTCTGCTATTTCATCATCACTGTCACCACCATGGCTCTCTTCATCACGTTCTTCCTGAAAGTGTTGTTAAGACAATGTTGAAATCTAATACTAAAGTACAGTGTTTTGCTACATTTATATAGCCGAACATGTAAACAAGACAGCAAAAATGCACTAATCAATGTTTACTGTGTGCACTGGAAAATGTTCTCACTCCGAGGATGTGATCTATTTCAATAAAATCCAACTGTAGTATCTTCTCAGATAAAAAATGCATTAGTGGGGGGGGGGGGGGGGAAAGAATAAAAAACAGACTAAAATGCACAGTATAGGGAAATTCATGATCCTTTGTAAGTGATATTCCTCTACTGTTTCCATTTAGGGTACTATAACTTGTCATTATAGATCTGCATATACTGAATATCCATATATGCAATGGCATTTCCTTAATTTTCTGTGCATCACTGGGGTCCCTACTTGTTTTTACTCAAGAGAAGAGAACCTTACAAATATGGCAGCTCTAAACTGACTTTTTTTCATGTTAGGTTTGTTAAAACCCACTGCTACACACTGCCTTTCATGCGTTGTGTTATATTACTTGGCAGTGACCCAGTCAAGTGTTGATTTGGAGTCAGGCTGTGGGGGCAATGACCCCAAAAATCATCTACAGGTAACCTAAAGGTATGCATTATATAGTATTTATCGTTAATATTTCATCGTAAGTTACACGAAAATTTCAACAATTCTGTTGTGAACTTTGAAATGTTGCCCTATGGCATCGATTATACAGTATCTATATCAAAGTTCACTAATAATAACCAATGAAAATGTGATGAGCACTTGTTGATATACAAGTGCTTTAAGGACTTTTAACCCTTCATACCTAAAAGATGAGTGCACCTACCTTACACCTTACACAGGCTTTTAGCCTTCTACATGTCCCCTTTCATTGTACGTATCTCCAATTGTACGAAATGGGAGACATGCATTCTCGACAAAATCGTCAGCAGCTCTACAATCAAAGGGCCTGCCAAACACATTGTGCAACCCCTCAGCAACATGGTGTCTAACATTTCTGTTAATATTTCCAGTAACCTACTCATGATAGCTACAGTATTGACTCTTCTACCATCCTCAAAAGATTTAGTGCTTAAGAAGCAGTACGATCTAGTCATCAGTACAGGAATCTGTCATACCCTGGGAAGGACATGACAGGAATTAGCATTTGAAACAGCAAGATCCTTCAAACTGAGAATCTGCAAACATAAATATGCTTGTAACCATAATGATTTTAACAACACCTGTATCCAACACAAAAGCAACCAGGAAAAGCTCACTAGTGGGGTTAGGCTAAGCTATGAGTGACATGGGCAGATAAAATTACCATGAAGTCACCATCCTACAAAAACTGGGCAGCCTCAGTCTCTGTAAGTACAGCATTTTGCGAACAAATTATTACTAAACCTGGACAATGACCTCATGTGACACCAACTAATGCACACTACCTATTTGTTTCCCTACTCCGTTCAACCCTGTCTCTACTGTTGCTATAGCTGTCTGTATGAAGCCACTCGTGAGAAAACTCTTTCTTTAATAAATGTTGTACAAGTCTTTGACTAGTGTCAGTAATGAAATGACCTGTATCTTAGCGGACTCTCACTGTTAGTGCTACTGAAGTTTTGAGGAGTTGTACATTCTGATGAAGGCAGAGCTGGAAGAAGTTGGGATGATACAACTTCTTAAAGAGAGAACATGAAGATTCATCCCCAGGAACAAGGAAGAGGATACAATAATACCAGCTGCAATGAATGGAAACTGATGGGCAAGAAAGGATTGAGGAAATAGCTGTTATGACTACCATCTTCTTCACTATGCTGTCGAAAAATGGGGTTCAGTAACTGAGGACAAGAAAGAGTTGCTCATGAGAGTACAGTGATACCTCGACTTATGAATGCCCTAACTTATGAGTTTTCCGAGTTATGAGCCATCACTTGGTCGATTTTTTGCTTTGAGTTGCGAGCCAAAATCCAAGTTATGAGTGAGCTTTAGATACGCTACCACTAGTTGGAGCAGCGAACACCACAACATCCGCCCAGCATCCCAGCATTTTGTTTTTTGTGCAGTTATTTTGCCAAATTTCTTTTTTCTAACCATGGGTCCTAAGAAAGTAAGTGCAAAGGACAGTGCTGAGAAGAGGAGGATGATGTCCATTGAATTAAGTCATAAAATCATAGAAAGACATGAGAAAATCATTTTGTTTCGGTGTTTTCCTCAGGAAACTAGTGATCTAGTGCAATCAGCCTAACAAACATTCTGTTTTCTCTTATAATAAGACCTCAGAAGAGCAAGAATGGGAAAAGTATGGCTACCACCACTCGTCACATAATGACATGTTTTATTCATTCTAGAATATATATCATGTTTCTATGTTATTTATATTGTTTATTATGTCATATTAGATCAATTGTGATAAATAAATAAGCCGTAGAGTTGATATTAGCACTACACTGAAGTATTTTCTCCTGCCTCCCGAGAGCCCGGAATTCTGCTGGAACGGATTAATGGCATTTCAATTAAATTTAATGAGGAAAATTGATTTGATATACGAGCAAATTGAGTTATGAGCTCGGCCATGAAACAAATTAAACTTGTAAGTCAAGGTACCACTGTACAACTGTTTCACAATAGGCAACTCCCTGATTAAATTTAAAGACAGGGTTTTTGTAACAAGGATAGAAAGATGAGGCAGAGAACAATAAAATAAAATAAAAATAAAATTTTATTTCATTGCTAAGGTTACAATGTGTGTTTACATTTCATAATTTGATTAGTACAAAGAAAGTCACTATCATGCCGAGGCATTTCAGGCAGAATTAACCTAATACTTATAGACTACTTAATTCTAGACAGGTGAAGAGTGGTAGAATATAATACAGTATTCAATATTTTACTATTATTAATATGAGGTAATACAATTTATGATACATACATTTTTAAGCTTATAATTTTGTTTACTCTATTATTAAAATGAGGTAGTACAATTAATGATACAAACATACATTTTTAAGTTTGTAATAATGGCATAATAGTTAAGGAATAATAAAATATTTGGGAGAGTTTCTTTAAATTTGGTTAAAGTTTAGCATAGTGTGGGTATGGTTGTTATTGAGAAATGAGATGATTTTTGAGTATAGTCCTAAATTAATTTGTGGGAAGGGGACCTCTTGCTGTTTCAGGCAAGGAGTTCCAGATCTTTGAGCCCTTTATATGCATCGTATTTTTGCATAGTGTGAGACGGACACGAGGGACGTCAAAAAGTTTTGTGCCTCGTGTTATGGCTGTGTGTTCTGTTGAAGCTGTCTAGGAGAAGTTTGAGTGGAGGATTGGTATTGTTCTGTATATATAGTAGGCACAGTAATAAGTGTGTATATTTTGTATATTAAGTAAGTTCAAGCTTTTGAAAAGTGGTCGGGGTGTGGTGTCTGGCACTGGAGTTTGTGATCATCCGCACCACTGCTTTATGTTGGGTTATTAGAGAGTTCAGGTGACTGCCCGTGGTAGATCCCCAAGCACAAATACCACAGGTGAAGTAAGGGTATATTAGAGAGTGATATAAAGTAAAGAGCGCCCTTTGGGTATAATAGAATTGCATCTTGGAAAGAATACTACTGTTTTGGAAAATTTTCTTGTTATATGCTGGATGTGGGTCTGAAATTTAAGATTACAGTCAAGGTGGAGACCTAGAAATTTCCCCTCAGTGTGTCTAGTATGGGTGAACCCTTTATTGATATATTTAGCTGGATATTTAATGCTCTTTTTCCCAAAAAGCATGAAGTGGGTTTTTTGTCTATACTGAAAGTAAGTCTTTTGGGTTTCCATCACCCAGTTTGATATTTTATGTAGCTCGCTGTTTCATGTGTTACTAAGTAAAACCCGAGTTTGGGTGGTTGAAGACATAAGTGGTGTCATCCATGAACAGAAAGGGTTTTAAACCCCTTTGATGTTTAAGCCGTATATTACGTCTTACGCGCCCCCGTTTCTGACGATTTATGTGCATAAATTTTAGGGGCTTCAAATCAAACAGGAAAGGCCTGGTAGGCCTACATGAGAGAGAATGGGTCTGAGGGGTTTGGGTGTGCCCCTGTGAAAAAAATCTGGGACTCAGTGGTGCATTGTGGGAACGCCATCTTGGTAGTCCATTTTCACATGCCTCGCAGTAGGAAAGTACTCACTCCTCGGGGATTGGAGGTCTTTTGTTCCCAAGTGATAGCTCTAACAGAGAGGAAGTGTCAGTGACAGTGAATTCCATGGTTTTTCAAGTGAGTGTGATGAAAAAAGTGCCCAGGATGACATAATTAGTGATAAAAACCCAGATGATCCACGACCTTCCACCTCTGGTGCTGGGCCGGCTTGTTCACGTTCACGTTCACCTGTACCAGGACGAAAGGGGAAAAACTATTTGGCGTGTACAAGCCCCAGATGTTAGCAGTAAATGTGATAGTGATAGTGATTTCAAGGTTATTGAAAAGCAGTTCTAGTTGTGACAGTGAGGGTGAATATTCCCCAGTGAAGCGGCAGTATGTACGACGTAGCATGAGTCTGGTAGTGCTTCATATGCTGTTCCAAGGGGGAAAGGAGTAACTCTAGGAGCACATCCTGTGGCCCTACACCACGACCTGATAGTGAAGATGACGATATTGTTACGATGGGTATGAATTATGTGAGTGAGGCAGCAGGCAGTGGTGGCGATAGTGATGGTGGCACGACCCATGTGGCACCAGCAGCGGGCCACGCTACTACCCACGCTGCTGACTCTCCCACAACAACAACCAGCCTCACCCAACACCACACTCCCACAACCTACACAACCACAACCTGCACAACCACAACTACGTTACAATACCCAAAACCCCACCAGCAGACTGCATCTGGGATTGGCAGGAAGGTGAGGAGTTTGTTCCCAGTCTCCATGACTTTGATGAAACACAAAGTGGAATAAAGCCATCATGCCCACTTGGGAACAATGCTAGGGGAACTGGAATGCTTTGAGTTATTCTTCGATGAACCCTGATGGGGCATCATTGTCAGGGAAACCAACACATATATGAGTACACCATGGCAAATACAATTCTCTCACCAAGATCCCCGGCTACACCAGGTGGAAGGACACAACTGTGCAGGATATAGCTGTTTTTTTGCCACAATAATGCTTATTTCCACATGTGTAAAGCACACTGTCACCACATATTGGGCAACAGAACGCCTGATTTCAAACTCCAGGTTTTAGGACATTATAGGTTCAATCGTTTCTTGATTTACTGTTACGGTATGTTACACTTTTCAGACAAAACCAGGCCTGACAGAAGCGACAGGTTTTTATAAGTCAGAAATGTGTTTATGTACATGAAACAAAAGTGCTGCATGTATTTTTATCTCTTCAGGAAGCTTGTTTTTGATGAGTCTTTGATTTTATTCAAAGGAAGACTCTCATTCAAGCAATGTATACCCAAGCAAGAGGAAAACTTTGGTATAAAGTTATTTGTACTGTTTTGATTGCATTAGTGGTCTAGTTTTGGATATCACTGTGTACACTGGCAGTAATACTTTGAGAGATACCATGAAGTTATTGGGTATCTCTGGTGATGTTGGGTTTGAACAATGATGGAACCATATCTTGGTAAGGAGCATATGTTTTTTTACTGATAACTGGTACACAAACCTTTTACTCAGTGATTTCTTGTGAGTGAACTTGACAGACGTGTGTGGCACAGTGCGTGGTAATCGTAAACATACGCCAAGGTTTTGAAGCTGGCACCGCAGAGGTGAGGTGCAAGCCTTTGCTGCCAATGACATCATGGCATTTCGGTGGCATGACAAACATGATGTCACATTGTTGACTCAGTTTACCGAAATGAAATGGCACACACTGGCAGGCACAACGAGAGGGCCAATGAAACCCATTCTAAAGCCTGCAGCTGTCATGGACTACAACCTCAATTTTGCGCTTAGTGGACAAATGTGACTGCAGATTGAGTTTGCTGATTGGGTATGCAAGAGTTAAAAGTGGTATATAAAACTTTTTTTCCATCTTGTTGATATCTACATGGTAAATGCTTATAACATATACAAGTTGAGGACCAACAAAACACCAAAATATGGTGAATTTTGTTTGTCAGTCATCAAACAAATAATTGCCAAGTACCAGGGAGCAACACCTGCAATAGACCAGCACCCACGAAATTATCAACACACGCCATCTCGTTTCAGGCCTGGTGATCACTACCCCATACTACTGCCTCCTAGTGGTTCCAAGAAAAATGCTCAGAAGAGGTGTTTTGTATGTGCACTTACCACAAACTACATAAAAACCACCTGGTGGTTCACACTTACACTCACTCACCCATTTGACTATAAACACAGAAATACGTATCTTAATTTTATAATAATGACTCCTAACTAGTCATAAGTTTGCCTGTGATACTCCAATATAGAAACTATGTATTGTGCCAAAACAAAAGCATTCACATTGCTAAACTCACAAACGCCCACAAACACGCAGAGACACTCGTTTTATGTGTGAGGAGTGTCAAGTGCCACTCTGCATATACCCATGTTTCAAAGAGTTCCATAAGCTGCAAACAGTTCTAGGAACATGTTCAGTGACTGTACATATGTATATATATTATGGAACAATAGTAATAAACAATGTTTGTATTGTTTGCTTGAGTAAACAATTTATACACAAACTAATAGTGATAAAGTTTTTCAGTTATTGTGTTGTAAAAATGGAAATATTTGAAAAATGCCCCTTACATTGGCTCACGGGCCACTTAAGTTATTGGGGAAAAAAAATATTGGAAAATAAAAGAAACTTTTAAATTAAGAAATAAAAAAATCCCGGGTGGGGGCAGTCCCCGTGTTGTCGTGCGCAGTCATTTTTTCCAATTTTTGCCCCTCTGTATCTCGGAAAGTTGTGCAAAAAATTTTTTTAGGTTTTAAAAACTCATAAAATAACCCAAACATTTTCAAAAGAAAAAAAAATTTTCTTTTTCAAATATTTTGCGCAAAGAATGAAAGTTTCAGAAGGGCCCTTTAAAAGTCAAAGGGTTAAGGATCACGATGCATTTGGGAGGCATGTGAAATAAAAAAGAGTAGAGGACCTAGGATACTTTCCTGGGGCACCCCAACAACTACGGGCTGGTTTTTGGGAGGTCATCCCTTTTTTGTGTATAAACTCGTGTTTACATAAGAAAAGTTTTAGGTAACTAGGGCCTTTGGGCCCCCTAATGCTCTAGTTTTGGGTGCAAAATATTGGGTCTATTGTTAAAATGTTTTTGTAGGTCTATGAAGGCCCCAAAGACTTAATTTTTTTTTTTTCTGTATATAGTAATTCGAGCTTTGAATAATTGCATCTTTTTCCCTTTTTTTTCAGCCTAAATCCAAACTGGGCGGGTTCTTACTTCCCTTTTGCCCCCATAATAAACTTTTTTGTCTCCACATTAACTCAAGCACCACTCACCTTTTTTTTCCCCCAACAATTCTATGATTCACCTATCCTTATAAGTCCCTCTCTGATTTTCAAAATCCCAAATATCTGAAAACTTTTCTTCTTCCTACACCTCCCAATCTGATATCCAATTTTTCTTAATCTAAATCATTTGATACCCCCATCGCCTTATCTTTTCTATGTTCCTTGCAACTTTTCCTTTACAACACTCCAAATTTGCCCCTAACCCCTGCAAAATTTTTCTTTGAATCCCCCATAACACAGTATCTCAGCAAAAAAAACTGTGTCATTTCCCCTTTTGTATTTTTCCCCAAATTTACTACCCCTTTTCCCAAAACCCAGCATTTTCTTTTTTTACAACCCATCTATAAAATAATTAAAAAACCTGGTGACATACAATCTTGTTAAGCCTACTTTTAAGGAAGTAGTTCCCTCTCTTTTACACACCCTTTAAAGAGCCTCCCGTTCTCAAAAACTTTTACAGCATTAGAACTTTCCCCCTATTCCATATACAGTGGACCCCCGACTAACGATATTATTTCAATTCAGAAGTCTGATCGGGTGCCGTTATAGACCGAATTTGTTCCCATAAGGAATATTGTGAATTAGATTAGTCCGTTTCAGACCCCCAAAAATACACCTACAAAAGCACTTACAAAAAATACACTTACATAATTGGTCAAGTTGGGAGCTGATCGTTAGTCGGGGGTCCACTGTATGTACTTGCAACATCTGTCACATTGCTCCCCTATCCACTCTATCATATGCCTTTTCTAAATCCATATATGCAATAAAAACTACCTTTATCTAAATACTGTTCACATATATGCTTCAATGTAAACACCTGATCTACACATCCCCTACCTACTCTAAAACCTCCTTGCTCATTCGCAATCCAACATTCTGTCTTACCTCTAATATGCTTTTATAGTCACTTAATACAGCAGTACAGTCAACCTAGTTTATGTTGATATGTAAAATTATAATCTTTGTCACATATTCCTTGTGTTCTTTATATAACATTTTAAAATTTCCAATGGTTTAAGCACTTACTACATCCTCATTCAATGCTCATTTAATGTTCTGAATAATAAATGACTTTCTCTTGAGAATTCATTTGTATCATATTGTATTTATATCATAACTGTATTAAAAATGTAATCAAATGAATTGTAAACCAAACCACTATGACTTCTACATACTGTACACTTCAAAGAAATAAAGATTTGTTCCCTTTCCTTCTACTACCACTTTATTTGTAAAGAATTTTTTTCTAATATCCATTTGGCTCCCTTTTTTCTTTATGTCTGTGGCCTCTTGCTATTCCTTTTGAAAGTACAAAAGAACTTCTTTATCAATTCTTTCAGTGTTACCATATTTCCACAGAATGTGTAAGTATGTTTAGTGTTTACAGCCTTTCAACTTAGCTCCTTTTCCGGGCTTGTATGATCCATACTTTTTTTTAAGGTATGGACACCACATAGTACAGTAGTTGTATATTCTAATTCTGGCCTAATATATGTTGTAAACAGTTTTTTTCAGTATCTCTTCATCCTACATGTGTTTGAACAGTCACTCTCCATCCTATATGTATATACAGTGGACCCCCGGTTAACGATATTATTTCATTCCAGAAGTATGTTCAGGTGCCATTACTGAACGAATTTGTTCCCATAAGGAATACATGTATTGTGAATTAGATTAGTCCATTTCAGACCCCAAACATACACGTACAAACGCACTTACATAAATACACTTACATAATTGGTCGCATTGGGAGCTGATCGTTAAGTGGGGGTCCACTGTGTTTGAAAGCTATTACATGTATACAGTTAGTAAGTGTAGCGTATGCATTTCTGTTTCATTTATATAATCTACCAAAAGATTGCAAAGGTTCTCTGCCTGCCAAACACTTCAAAGCTACTAATATAAAGTACCTCCTTACCTTATACCTGGAGGGTGTTCTGTTCTGGGGGTCAATGCTTCCATGCCCCTTAATGTGATTCATGATGTAATGTCAAACACATCTTGAAATCTGCTTGTTTTATCCTCCATTATTCATCCTTCTGTACTTCTTGTTTCCAATATTTTTCTACTCCATATATCATACTATCCCTTTATTATGACATAGCTGTATTAATGAGACTTGAATAAAATTTTCAATGTATGTAGATAATTTCTTATATTCATGTCTGGTGAAACAATTATGAACTGTTATACTACGAGTTATTACTTTAATTTTCACTGTTACTGTGCGTATTCTTGGCCTTTCAATTTGATATTGCTGTTTTACTGAAAATTTTCGCTTAAGATGACAAGTCCTTGATAATCTTCATATAACTTATATTGCATGGTAATGTACTGTCATCATATAAACTAATACAGCACCACTCAATCTTTTACAACTAGTCAATTACAATTTTTTATTTTCATTGAATAATGCTATACAGTGGATCCTCGGTTACTGGCCATAATCCGTTCCAGAAAGTTGGCCTAAAACCGAAATGGCCTAAAACCAAAATAATACTTCCCATAAGAATTAATGTAAATACAGTGGTCCCCCGCTTTTCGTAGTTCCCGGCAATCGTAAAATTCGCCAATCATAGGGGTATTTTCGTATGAACATGGACTCGCTTTTCATAGGTTGACTCGCGAGTCGTAGTTCGTCCGGGACGCGTACCCACGCCGTGAGCTGGGGCGGCAGCCAGTCTGGCATTGTTTACCAGTGAGCGAAGGTCCCCTCACGTGCTCCAGCGAAATATTTCATAATATTCCATTTATTTTAGTGCTTGCAAGTACTAAATAAGCTACCATGGCTCCAAAGAAAGCTCCTAGTGCCAAGCCTGTGGTAAAGAAGGTGAGGAATACGATTGAATTTAAGAAAACCATCACTGAACAATATGAAAGTGGTACAAGTGTGGCCGAACTGTCCAGGATGTATAAGAAACCCTACACAACCTTATATTCCGTAGTGGCCAAGAAAAAGGAAATAAAGGATGCTGTTGTTGCAAAGGGAGTAACTATGCTGACAAAAATGAGATCACCAGTACTGGAAGAGGTTGAGAAGTTATTATTGGTGTGGACAAATGAGAAACAAGTAGCAGGAGATACTCTTATGACTTCGATATTTGTGAAAAGGCTAGGCAGTGTGCATGAAGATTTGGTAAAGAAATTGCCTGCAAATCGTGGTGAAGTGAAGTAAATTTTAAAGGCCCAGCAAAGGCTGGTTTGAGAGATTTAAGAACCGTTACTGGCATACACAGTGTAGTAAGGCATGGTGAGGCTGCCAGTTCGGACCACAAGGTGGCTGAAAAATATGTGCATGAATTCCAGGAGTACACAGAGGCTGAAGGACTGAAACCTGAACAAGTGTTCAATTGTGTCGAAACAGGCCTCTTTTGGAAGAAAATGCCAAAGAGGACCTTCATTACACAAGAGGAAAAGGCAATGCCAGGACACAAGCCTATGAAAGACAGGCTGACACTAATGTTCTGTGCTAATGCTAGTGGGGATTTCAAAGTGAAGCCATTACTAGTGCACCATTCTGAAAATCCCAGAGTGTTCAGGAAAAACAATGTTATGAAGAGTAAATTGTGTGTGTTTTGGAAATCTAATAGTAAGGCATGGGTCACGAGGGAAATTTTCCTCGAGTGGTTCAATGAAGTGTTTGGCCCTAGTGTGAAGGAGTATCTCTGGAAAAGAAATTGGATCTCAAGTGCCTGCTAGTATGGACAATGCACTGCTCATCCTCCAAAACTTGGATGACCTAATTTTCGAGGAGTTTGGGTTCATCACAGTAAAGTTCTTGCCCCGAATACCACTCCTCTCCTCCAACCCATGGACCAGCAGGTTATTGCAAACTTTAAAAAACTCTACACAAAAGCAATGTTTCACAGGTGCTTGACTGTGACCACAGACACTTGACCCTAAGGTAATTTTGGAGAGAACACTTCAGCATCCTCCACTGCATAACCCTTATAGGTATGGCTTGGGAGGGAGTGACTACCAGGACTTTGAACTCTGCCTGGAGAAAATTGTGGCCAGATTGTGTCGACAAGAGGGATTTTGAAGGATTTGGGACTGACCCTAATGAGCCTATGTCTATTGTAAAATCAATTGTGGCACTGGGGAGTTCCATGGGGTTGGATGTGAGTTTGGAGGATGTGGAAGAATTGGTGGAAGACCACAATGAAGAGCTCACCACTGAGGAGCTGCAAGAGCTTCAGCAGGAAGAGCAACACATCGCAGCTCAGAATCTTGCTGCAGAGGAGGAAGAGAGATGGAAGAAGATGCCTTCTTCAGAAATTAAAGAGATTTTTACTATGTGGGGTAAGATGGAAAGCTTTATGGAGAAACATCACCCTAACAAGGTTGTTGCAAGCCAGGTTGGCAACATGTACAGTGACAAAGTCTTGGGCCATTTTAGGGAAGTGTTAAAGAGATGCCAGAAACAGAGCTCTCTCCACAGTTAATTTGTGAGACAGGACTCCAGTGACTCTCAAAGTGGTCCTAGTGGCATTAAGAAACAGAGAAGAGAAGCAACCCCAGAAAAGCAAATGGTACCTGAGGTGTTGATGGAAGGGGATTCCCCTTCCAAACTATAAACAATCCACTCTCCTCCTCCAGTCTCCCATACACTAAGAAGAATCTCCAATAAAGGTAAGTGTTATGCTGTTAATGTTTCATTCATCATTTCCCATTGTATTGTTTATGTACTACATGTATATTTCATGTTAAAATTTTTTTTGTTTTAATACTCATGGGTGTCAGGAACGGATTAATTGTATTTACATTATTTCTTATGGGGAAAATTGATTCGTAAATCGTAAATTTCGTTTATAGTAATGGCTCCAGGAACAGATTAATTACGAAAAATGAGGGACCACTGTACAATTAATCCGTTCCAGACACCCAAAAATATAAAAAAAAAAAAAAAAAAAAAAATTATTTTTTAAAGATTAATAATAGCTTTACATACAGAAAACAACGAGAACACAATAAAATAAATAAATGAACATTTAAATCACTATTACATACCTTTATTGAAGACTCTTGCTGGCTCATGGAAGACAGGGAGGACTGATTATTGTTTAGAAGGGGAATCCCCCTCCATAAGGACTTCAGGTATTAAAGCCCTCTCTGGGGTTACTTCCCTCCCTGCCTGTTACACTCCCTGCATGCCTGCTACACTCCCTGCATGCCTGCTACACTCCCTGCCTGCCTGCTACACTCCCACCCTCCATGCTACACTCCTGGTCTGCCTGCTACACTTCCTCCCTCCATGTTACACTCCCTGCTTCCATGCTATACTCCCTGCATGCCTGCTACACTCCCTGCATGTCTGCTACACTCACTGCCTCCCTTTTACACTCTGTCTCCCTGCTACACTCCCTCCCTCTAACACTCCCGGCTTCCATGCTACACTCCCTGCATGCCTGCTACACTCCCTGCTATACTCCCTGCATGCCTGCTACACTCCCTCCATGCTACACTCCCTGCCTCCTTTCCACAGCATATGTGTAAAGAACCTAGGATAACCCAAATAAGTCAGAGTGACTTATTTCCACTGGGATCCTGCCTCCCTGCTACACTCCCTGCCTGCCTGCTAAACTTCCTTTCGTAACATTAGCTTCCTTGATTTCTACTTCTTTGCCAGAATGGAAGTGATTGTTGATTTGGATTTCCCATACATCCTGGCAAGTTCTAGCACTGGAACACCACTCTCATACTTTTCAACAATTCTTTCTTAAATTCCATTGTGTTTCTCACTTTCTTTACCAAAGGAACTTTACTAGGAACTTTCTTTGGGCCCATGGTTGCTTATTTTGCAGTTGCACTCAATCAATAACCCCCCAAAAAATGGATTATAGCGAAATGTTTGGATGAATAAACAGAATTTCCTCACTCGCCCAGAGACGCAGCCAGACTGACTCACGAATGCGCGAGCAGCTGGCGGGTGGGCAGGTCGATGCGTCCAATATAGCAGATAAGCAAAATAACGGCTAATAACCTGAATAAAATTTCAGCCAATAAGCAGGGCGATAACCGAGGGGTCCACTGTACTTGTATCTTAACTAATTTTTTAATTTCCTAGTAATATCTTGTATATGGCCCATTTGAAAAAAATTGTGATCTAATACTAGTCTAAGTTTGCCCAAAATGCTGTGCATCCTATGGGTTTTCTAATTATTGTACATACTATGTATACTGTATATTATATAATGATTTTAAATAAACATGAATAAACACTGTACAGTGGACCCCCGCATACCGTTGGCATCACATAACGTTTAATCCGCATACCGCTCGCTTTTATCGCAAAAATTTTGCCTCGCATACCGCTCAAAAACCCGCTCACCGCTGTTCGTCCGAGACGCGTCCAATGTGCGCCCTTAGCCAGCCTCACATGTGCCGCCAGTGGCATTGTTTACCAGCCAGCCTCCGCGGTAACATCCAAGCATACAATCGGAACATTTCGTATTATTAGTGTTTTTGGTGATTTTATCTGCAAAATAAGTGACCATGGGCCCTAAGAAAGCTTCTAGTGCCAACCCTACAGCAATAAGGGTGAGAATTACTATAGAGATGAAGAAAAAGATCATTGATAAGTATGAAAGTGGAGTGCGTGTCTCCGAGCTGGCCAGGTTGTATAATAAACCCCAATCAACCATCGCTACTATTGGTGGTACAGCTGCTGCTGCTGCTGTACCACCGTCAGCTGCTGCTGCTGCTGTACCACCGTCAGCTGCTGCTGCTGCTGTAGCACCATCAGCTGCTGCTGCTGCTGCTGTACCACCGTCAGCTGCTGCTGCTGCTGTAGTACCGTCTGCTGCTGCTGTAGCATCGTCTGCTGCTGCTGTAGCACTGTCAGCTGCTGCTGCTGTTGTACCACCGTCAGCTGCTGCTGCTGCTGCTGTAGTACCGTCTGCTGCTGCTGTAGTACCGTCTGCTGCTGCTGTAGCATCGTCTGCTGCTGCTGTAGCACTGTCAGCTGCTGCTGCTGTTGTACCACCGTTAGCTGCTGCTGCTGCTGTAGTACCGTCTGCTGCTGCTGTAGCATCGTCTGCTGCTGCTGTAGCACTGTC